AAATGTATTCATTTGGAGCCATTTGTACTGATACTATAAAAAAATAAGAGCGATTTAGTAAAAATCAATCGACACGTTTCTTAACAACGAAACTAGCGCTTCAGACTAGATTGTTTGAACGTTTACGCAAATTTTTCTATTCTACGCCTTTCAAATTTTCCACGACTGCATAAACAGCCACAATCTATTCACGATAATCGCATTAACGCCGACTAGGTAAAGGACCTTCGCGATCAACATTCACCATCACCTCGACCTCGAGTCATTTCTCGAATCATTCCGATCTTGGCTGAGAGAGCGCGTGGGCTGAGCCGGAAACGAAAAATCCCTCTCTTTAGGGAAAATTATCGACGGTTCGAGGGAGCGGGCGCAACGATCCAGTCGGAAAGCGCCATTGATACGAAAACGAGTATCGACTTTGACCGTCCACCGGCTCTCTCACCTTTGCCAGCGTGCGTTCCTTTTAATCTATCCGCGTGGCGTAACGTTCCTCTGCCTCCGGGGGCTTTCGGATAGCAATGGAAGAAGGAAGAAAGAAAGAAAAAGGAAAAAAGAAGAGCGAGAGGCAGGCAGGGGGAAAAAAACGAGCGGTGGAAAAGGGAAAAAAGGAGGAGAGAGGAGAGATCCATGCGGAATCGCGCGCGTCGAGTACGTGGAACGCATTACACGATCATCGCGTACGGAAAGCCCAGATCAATTACATAATGGCGCGACTGAAACGGATGCTCTTCAACCACCGCCCCGAGCCCCCTTAGCCCCGTCCCACACCCGAAGCGTCCCCGCGCTCCTGGCGCACCAGCCCCTTTCGCAAAGTGACTATAGAACAAAGGGTTGAGCCTCTTCTCTGCGGGCGCAGTAATTATTATGCTCTTTGACGATCCCTCTGTCTGTCAACGGTAACGCCAACGAAATCGATACTTCTAAAACTTTAATCGTTTCGCGTATGAGTGACATGCTTTCGCGCTAAGCCGCCATGTGAAAATATTTGAGGTCCGCGGCCGACCGCTCGCACCGAGGAGGCCGCCAGGGGAGAGAGTCGAGATCGAGAAGGTGTCGAGAAGGGTGCGATTCGTGTCGATGATTTTTCTTTCATCTGAATCGGTTATGATCACGACGGGACGAGGCGGAAATCTGTTTTAGTTAGGGGAAAGTCTCGGTTTCGACGATACGATGATTGGTTTGGCTAAGTGTACCAAATTTTCTTTCTTCTCCTTTGTTTTTCTTTTTTTTTTTTTTTTAGGATGAATGTACAATGAAGGAGGATTTTCGAGCCGAACTTTGGGACGTCAGAAAGATGATGACAATTCCCAGCGATTTTGACAATCTAAGATCCAACAATTTATTAAAATTGAATTTGATATTGAAACATTAATATCCCAAAATTATTATACGATATTGAAAACTTAATGTGTAAATCTGATCTAAGTTCTAATGACATACTAATAAATAAATTTAAATTTCAACGAATATCAAAATCTATTAGAGCTACGAGCGCGTTTGTTAATTTATCAGGACATACTCAAGTCCTTCCAATCTCCAAATTTTAAAAAAATATTCGATATCACTTCAGACGGACAGAAATGAAGAATATTTAGTCGAAACAAAGCTAACCACGGCGCGTGACAATTAAAAAAAATTTCCGATCGTGCTTATCAGAGCGAATCAAACATCGATAAACAAACAAACCGATAAGAAATTGTTGACTCTGTGTATTTCAGCGAAAAAAAAAGGGGGGAACGGGGAGAACACAGAAGATAAACGGAGGATTGCGATATCGCCGAGAGATAGATATTTTCCTGGATCAGTGGTGAAAAATGATAGGGCGCGATCGAGCTGGCGTCGCTGGGATCTCATTATCCAGCGTGGAAAGACGAGATCGTCTCCGTGGAACTTCTTTTTCGCCTGGAAGGAAGGAGGACCTCCCGTTTCACGATACAGAAACGCTTTCCTCGTTAGTCTTAATTTTCTCTCGCGGCCCGACATAGGCGACGACACTTCATATCGCGAACGACAGTACATCCGTGGGAGCGTTAATGACACCGTGGAATACACGCGATGAATAAGATCGTAATAACGAGTGCCAACCGTTGTTCGCAACGTACCCCTTAATTTTCCTGCCTAATGTTTGGATTAATTTTCCGTTCGTCTTTTTCGCGCGCCGCGTATTTACTTTTGTTGAAATAAAACAAAGAATGTAGGCCGCTGTCTCCTATCTGAATATGAAAATTCCTTTTGCAGCTGTACCGTCACAAATTCCCTCTGTGTATACATATAATATGCATGGTATACAGCTTCCGGCGAGCCACAATTAATACTGTAACATATATGTCTATAATAATTTTATTCTAGTAGAATGTCGTTACCCTCGAAATATTCAATATGTTACCCAAATGTTCATCGTCATTGATTTAGGACATCATTTTGTTGCTTCTGCTTTCCGGAGAAAAAGCGTAAAGTGCTCTGCTCGTTTGTATATTCGATCGCGCGTCTTATTTCTACCAGATGAATTTGTGCAAAGATGGTATTAACTTTGGAATAATTTTAATATTTTTAACTTTCAAATGCTAATCAACAGGGGTAGGTCACGCGGCAATATTTTCCGTTTCTTCGCGACTCTCTTTATTAATGTTTCCCGCAAAGTTCCAAGTTTTTTAATAAGAAATGTTAAAGATAAACGTTCATTGCATAATGTGCGAAAATAAGAAATACGCAAACCAATATTCACGTCGGTGGAAATTAAGAACTTTATTGGTTCAGTGAAAGATCTTTGACCGGAACGTATCTAATGATACGAGGCGAAAAAGAGACTGTAAGAGATGTCTGACTTTTCAAACGCGTTTCTGATGGCAGATATCGTGTATCACTACACGCATACACGTATAATATGTACACAGACGTACACCAGAGATGCTGCTCTTGGCCCGAGCAAAATCTCAGTCCGCAGGAATGACAATAGACTGTCAGATAATGAATCCCCACTGTCACCCCCTTTACCATCCCACGTCCTAAAACCCACCCTCTGCTACGCTCTCTCTTTCTCTGCGCGTCCCTTTCTCTCGGCAGCGACAGCTTCGAAACCATCAACTTTTACTCATCGGGGAACAAATTTTTTTTTCACGACATCGATATCTAAATCACGATATATAAATTAGACTTGATCGAATCGATCGCGAAATAATATTTGCCAGGCTAATTATTAATTCTATCTGTTTGATAATACAGATGGTTTAGACGATGAGGAAATTAAATGAAACTTTATTTTCGTTTATTTCAAATTTATATAAAATATGAAAATAATCATCCAAGGTTCTCCTTTATTTTAAAGAAACAGGCAGTGCAATATTGTTGTTACGTCGGGCTGATTTTCCTACGTACAATTAATAATTTTATTTTAGTATGCAATGCCTATTTTTCATTAGTGTTTTCCCCTTTTATTTTTATTTCTACCATAATAGAATCATTCTGGATAAAAATAGTTGCATTGTTACATGAATTAATAAACGATGTAATGTAACTTTTACTTAGATTCCAGTTGTATCTCTCACTAACTGTACCCCTTATACTTTCCACCCTCTACTCTTGTAGCAAACAGGACTATGACCGAGTAGGCGAGGCGTCCACTTAGCGCTAATGCCCCTTTTATTGGTCAAGATTCCAGTCAAAAGCTGAATAGACGCTCGGGTCGTACCTCCAACTCGGTTTCCTCTAAAAATTAAACGAACCATTGATTATACCTGGTCGTAAATATTATATTCCGCTTTTCAAAACTTCATTTGACAATGTATACAACTTCTATACACAGATTAACTTACTTTGAAGAACATTTCAATGGATTTCAATAGATAAAAATATAATTTTCTCATTTAAGCAGATATTTTTACGCTTTCGATTGATTATATTATTTGTAACTGTTCCCTGTGCTTTCAATTTCACTTCGCTTAAACATGATTAATATTTCATTTTCGTTTATGTTTTACATATTAAAAAAAAGAAAAAAATTCATTTGTTTATCCGCTTATGATTAAACAAAGCTGATGGCTTTTTTAAATCAAAAGCATAATGCGTATTTAAATTTATCATGGTACATGCAAATCCTTTTCCATTTTTTTCTTTCCGACTTCTTTTTTTTTACGTGAACTCGGAAACGAATGGAGCAAAGCCGGAAAAAAGAATTGGAACGTGAGGTGTAACATATCGAACTGAATGTTGAAGCCAGTGAGAGAGCGAGTCGAAAAAAATTTTGCCTGGAATAACTCCAGGCAGAAAAAGTGAACAAAAAATTTCCATAAAAATGCACCCGTACATATAATCCGGATAAAGCTTAGCATTGTGAGAATGGCTATGTCACTGGTGGAAATGGCGGAAAAAACATAGACTGGTACATGGAAATGTCGCTAATCGAAGATTGTAAGGGGCACATGAAGAAAATATCGTGGCATATAAAGATATATAGTATTTTTCTTCTTAATAAGAAAAGAATAAATATACATCATCCTCTATTAATATACTTCATTATAAAAATTCATGTGAATTCATTTGAAAAAAATGGTCTTGTAAATTTGGAAATTTGAATCTATTAACACGCTAAAAAATTATTTTCAATAAGATCTAATGTATTATACATAATGACATTAGTGTAAATTAAAATACGTGTGAATTATCATGTTAAAAAATAAATATTCATTAGTCTATTAAATAAATTTTAAATGTCGAATTAATTTTGTGAAAAAAATATATTTTCATTATTTATTTCGATACATTTATGATAGTTTGTATATAAATATGGCTTACATTTAGGACCTGAAATTTTTCTTTTATGTATAATTCTGCTATTTCAGTCTCATAGAAGAAAAGATTCGATTATTCTTTCTAAATCTTTTGTCCACTGAATAAAATATCAGTTAAATAAATATCAGTTCTAAAATGTACAATATGAAAATATCTTAATTCCACTGATAGTTTTAACAAAATATTAAGGAAATTATTAACATCAACAAGAATGCTGTAGAATATACATATTTATTACAAAATATTTCAGATAATATCAGTGATATTACGTTCGCACAAAATTTGGAAGATAATATTTGTTTATGTTGTCAAGTTTGAATATTGGAAATAGTGTTATACTGGTTTCCCGTTTAAACTTGACTGCAAAATTATGTTTACTTACTATGTATATAAGAAAATCTGTATAAGGAAAATGTTTTCGTACTACGAAAAAAATGAAACTTGAATTATAAACGAATGTATGCAGTTTAGAAAAATATGACCACATTTTCGTCGAGCGAACTTCTATATATTCGAAAAATATTTACTTAAAAGATTGCTTTATGTGCTTTAAAGTCAAATACGTGATACATTTTCATGAGATCTTAGGTTTTAATGATTACGTATCAGTCTTGAGACTGTTAGCTGGTTAATCATTAGCAGTAAAATAAGCTTTATAGATCACAATGGTTTAGTATTTTATATTCAACAAAAATACTCTGTAGTTTAGGCATTTTCACTAGCGGGCCTCTTCTTATTCTAAAAAATAAACATATTTTGTTTATTGAGAGAGTACACTTGTATGTAATTAATTACATTAAATATAATGTTATTCTAAAATAAACCTTACAGTTTGTTTAGATGGTTTAGTATCTGTACTAGAAGTACGTGTTTTGGACCTCTCTTGTTCTAATTGTGCATGTAAAGATGCTACTTCGGATGTCAACTCATCTCTTATTTCTTGCAACTTTGCTACTTCGGCTAAAACTGACGCCTTATCTTTCACTGATAAGAAAGAAAAAAAATAGAGATAATTAACCACATTTGCAATAACACCGAATTATAATCAATAAAGAATGATTAACCTACTTTCTCCATGAGATAGTATTTGATAAAGCTTTTTATTTCTTTCTTTAACTTGTGTTAATTCTTCTTTTAAATTTTCTACTTGATTTTTTAATTTATTAATAATCTCATCGCGTTTCTCCACTTCTACCCTTAACTGAGCAGATGTAATATCATCATCGATTTTATTTAATCTTGCTTTCAACATGTCTTTTTCTTTTTCCTTTGTAATTTCTTCTTTTGTTTCCTTCTCAACTCTTTCAAAAAATTCTGTATCTAATTCTGTAAATAAATAAATAATCTTATATCTATTTAAGATTTAAAATGCGAAGTTACATTACCTTTTGATTTAGTATCACTATTTTCTGGTAGTGATACTGTATTTTGAGTAGTAGTAGTAGCAGTAGTAGTAGTAGCAGTAGTAGTAGTAGTTGTTGTTGTTGTTGTAGTAGTATCTGATCCCATATTGTTGAATTGCTCCAATGACATAGTAGCCTTTTTTGATTTTTTCCCTGATTTCTTATTTGACTCAGGCTCTTTTTCTGACTTGGCTGCACTTACTAGCTGCTCTTCATAAGCCAACTTTGACAGCAAGATGGCTTGATGTAATTCTTGTTCAAACGTTTCCTCGACAGCCTTAAGGAAATCACAATTGGACGTGATAACACACAACAGTTATAAATATGTCTCTACTGAAACAAAATCTTAGCTTTAACAATTTGTATCTAAAGCTAAACTATAATTTTCACACATATTAGTGAAGCCTGTGCCTGTCCTTATTACACACAATTCGTTGGTTGTCATTGTATCAATGTCCAGATAAAAACTCATTCTTAAAAAATTTCATTGAGCTAATAACAAACAAATAAAATATATTATAAATAATTTATACATTACCATTGTGTCTTTTTGTTTCCATTGTTCCCATTGTTGATTTTCATTACTACTAGTCTTTTTCTTTTTTCCCTGCAACAAAAAAAAAAAATACATAAAGAAAACAAAAGATTTATTATATAAATTTCTATGTTTTATTATGATCAATATTTTCTGCTATTGACAGAATCAAATCAGGCCTATCAAACTTATATTCCCCTCCACACGCCTCACGAATTTAGAGCTTGATGAGCCACTTCCTCCTCTTGTTTTCTTCCAGGCCCTATAATCGATTCTCCCATCATGTGCCAGTCACTATTACACATATTTGATTTAACTTTTAACTTTGTCAATTTATGGAAAAAGGTGCTTTTCTACAACCTCTTTTCATACCTTTCAATCTTTTTCATGTGTTAGTGGTGATTCATTTTTATAACCCATAATTCAGTATTCCGTAATTTGTGACTGGATCGGAATTAATTATTATTACATATTCCTATATTACTTCATCATATTTTATTTAATAAAATCGATATAAAAGTCTTTTTAATTTTGGTTACAAAAACCGAATAATGATGTGGCTTATGCACAATCCGGAGGAGAAGGAAACAACAGAGTAATATGATAAGGGGAGGGGGCGGGCTCTTCCCCTATGACTCGAAAAAAAGGGGTACGAGTTGGGGCACAGTTGGGGCACGGTTGGCTCGCGAGCCGCCAGTTCGACGGCCTGGTATAAATTATATTATCAATTATAAACTGATTTGTTTTTTATATTTTAAAACACATTCAAGTTCGTTACACTATACGTATATCATTGAACGTCAAAACCAATATTCAAATTCATTTCAAAGTACAAAGTCCCGCCACGGTTTACAAATACTATAACGTTTACCGGCTAATCAAAAACAGGAGAAAAACAATAAAGATTACATGTATCATACCTTATTTTGTTTTTTCTTGTCATCCTTTTTTGGTTGCTGCTGCTGTTTTGATTTGTCGGTTTTAGCTTTTTGATTCGTCTTACCGGTAGCAACATTCTTCTGAGTTTTCTTCGGCTTACAATCATCATCATCAATGCTGAGAACTGCGAATCTCGATGGCACGGCGGTCGCCATTTCTGTGAACTCTGAATATACGTATTGATAACAAAAAATACAGAACTTCCGGTATCATTATAGTCGTAAAACTTCTAATGTTCATTGATTCCTGTATTATTACATCGTGTATGATGTAGAAAATGATATAACCTATTACAAACGACTTACGTGTCTATACTTATCGTATACAAACGGATGTATAACGAAAAATGAAGAACGATGTTAAGCTATCACATAAACCGGAAATGAGCTATAGACGTTATTACAGACCTTCAGCGCCTCTAGCGGAAAATATTATGGAGATTACAATTACCCGCCCGGCGACACAGTCAGACCAACTGTGGAAATATTACGTTTAAATTGCTTTATATAATTATTTTTTTTTTCTTCTAATTTGTATTAATATTTCATGTTGTTTATTACTGTTGTTTACTACAGTATAGCAGCGTAACGACTTTATCAATTAAGAAGCAGTATTGAAGTTGAATGGTTTGTAATTTATTTTTTTAGGCAATTAACATATTTATCATATCACTTCGATTCGTATGTACGTAATGTTATATGCGATTTTGTAATTTCAGTATGGTATTTTATATTATGTTTTTATACCTTTACGTATTGTAACATATACTTCCAGTCTTCGTTTGTAAAAGATATGTAAATTATTTATAGAAAATTTAGATATCAATTAAATATCAATTGATTTGTTTTAATATTTGAATTTATTTTGCATTATAATTATTGTTTTATATCGTGTTATTGTAATAAGTATTCTCGTAACAGTATAACAGCAATTAAAATGTTTCTTTCTATCTTTTTATTACATATTAAATCTAAATTCTTTAAATCTCACATGCATTAAGTAATTATACAATATATATAAATGATATAAAAAACGTATATGAAGGTTATATTAAATATCTTATTATAGTAATATATTCAGTTCACATAACAGTTGCAGCAAAAGATGCATTTCAGATAATACTAAAAGTATAAAATTGAATCGATATAAAAAATTTAGACACAAAACGTAGTTATGTGCGTAATACGCAGCTATTAATTATGTTAAAATGATTAACCGCGAGAAATGTGTGGTATGTAGCATTTAAATTCTCATAACCTTTCATTTCGTGCAATTTCTTCGTTATATACGAAATAAAGTTTTTTTAACATCAGCAATGTTTATTTATTTATCTGTAAGAATAATATTCTAACTTCATGAATTATCAATTATAGCAATAATTCTGAAATAATTAAATTATTAAAACAAAATATACACAAGTCAGATGGTGAATAAAAGACGCGACAGTTGGCGGCATTGCTGAATCGAGAATCTCGAACAACGAGAGAGAAGGAAGTATCCATCACACATCCATCCATCCACCGTACAGAGCCCCCGTTGCACGTCGGGAAACTGAATATGTACGTATGTCGTACGAACAACGTAGAGCGTTGAATGTGTCGATTGTGTTCGGGGTTGGCTTGCACTTTTCGCGGCTGTATGTGCGCGCAGCAACATCGCGTGGTCGGTTATCAAGGTGTTCGCGAACCCTTCCAGTTTACAGTGACCGAGTGATAAGAGGTGAGGTGAAAAGAGAAATTTCTTTTCTTGGGACGCTCGCCAATTTCCGAGCTGTAAGATTCTATTGCGGCGTCGTTCTAACAAACAGTCGGGGGAACACGTAAAGGTTTCGCGCTGCTGTGTATCTGTGTGTGGAATACATCCAATCGGGGAATTCGCGGGCTAAAATGCCCGACGTGGCTCCTGCGGACAACGTCGGCATCGAGATCAAGATCAACGAAGCGGCGGACGACGAGAGGAGCGACGCTCGCTCCTGGTTTCCCGCGAATACCTCCGATTCCATTTTTACTTATGCCCGCGCATATGGCTGAACAATTTTTCGTATTTTGAAATAATCGGATAGTGCTTGTAAATTGTCTGACTGTTTCGAGGAAAGGAAATATCTGTAACTTTACGTACCACGGATAATTGCTATACTTTATTCAAGATAATATAACATGAAAACAACGACGATTTTCTAACGTATTATATGTTCGTTCTTTTTTTTTTTCTTTCTTTTTCTCATGTATCTCTAATAAAAATATACGTGATTTTGGAACGAATGTTTATGGTGCAATTTATAGATCTACGAGAAGGGACATACTAATTAAAGCTCAGTAAATGTTTTTTTCGGGGGATTTACTCTATTATTTACTCTCATATTTATGCCTAATGTGTAATGTTACATAGAAAAAAAAATCAAAGATCTTTTGATCAATCTATAAACGTGTTTGAAAACTTACAAAATGAGAGAAAATGAAAGAAATATAATATAATCGCAAAGTGTTCATAAACTTAAAGGAATCCTCCAATCATTTGGCAATTGTATATTGTATTTGTTTATATGATTTTGCATACATATTTATCATGTTTTTTCTTAAATGAAATAAAACTACTTATTGTTGTTACATATTAAGGTTAGATTTCAATCAATAGAATAATTCTTTCTTATTGTTATATATGCGAACAATTTATTGTGCTTCATCCACAAATATATAATATACGAGATATTTATGTTGAAAATCCATGCCGATTTTGTGAAAGAATAATATTAAATAGCTTTGTAAAATGTGTGAGCAAACAGAAATTGATTATTTGGATGGAGATGTTGTTTGGGTGAAACTTGGAGGATGCTGGTGGCCTGGACAAGTTACTGGGTTTCACAATTTACCAGAAGATATTCAGCATGAATTTCAAAAGAAGCCATTAATAGCTGCTGTAAAGTTTTTTCAAGAGGATACATAGTAAGGAACCTTATATCTTTAACTTATGACATTACTTACGTATTAAATTTATTCACATTCAGTATTATTTTTAGTTGATATATTTCCATATGTTCGTTTTATAAATAAATTGAAATCTTTCATATGTATTGTTTACTTTTTCAGTGAATTTGTGAAGAATTACCAACAGATTTATAAATACAACTGTACCCAGAAAGATGAATTTATCAGGAAAGGATTAGGTAATGTTTTTATATTTAAAACAGTTATATATATATACATGCAATATAAATTTTCAGACATAATTGGTCTTTATTTATTTTTGCATGTTGAACAATCTCTTATTTAGGTGTACCACATGTACTAGCATATTTTATATAATTATGCAATTTTATTTGTAGACAAGTATAGAAGTAAAAGCAAAGATGGATCCAGATACATGGACAAATTTCCCGGAGATGTTGAAATGGCTGAAAAGTTAACAGGAGGAGATCCTGATATATTAAGTCTTGATAAGTTTTGTCCAGAGGAGAAGCCAAATATATCGGCCTTATTTGGGGACAAGAAAATACCTAAAAAGAAACGAGATCGTGATGAAAGTCGTAGAAAAAGTGATGGTATGGAGGTTGTACGAAAAATTACGCATCCAAGATTTTTGAAAGAAAGTGATCATGAAATTCGAATACGTCAACAACCTAGCAGCTTACCATCTACACCGAATAATAGTGGTTCTCCGCAATATCCCTGTCATTTATGTAATTTTACTTCTTCACGAGTTAATGTTATCATTTGTCACATAAAAAGCCACAGATCTGGAAATTCACCAATATCAAAATCTAAAGTAAAAACTTATTCTCAACATAGAAGTAGATACTCTGACGTGGACACTCCAAAAAGAAAATACGCAAAAAAAGAAAAAGGCCAGTCAAATAAAAATAAAAATAATAGTGACTCTGGCAAAAGAAAACAAATTAAACAAAATGAGAAAGCTCCTAAAAAGAAAAAGATTTCAGATCCTAAAATTCGTGATACTATATTAGCAGATTGGGAAGATGAGTCAGACGAAGACCTTAATTTAAATCAGAGTACTGATTTAACATCCATGAACAATTCATCGCCAAAAAATCAATTTGATTTTGAAAAGTCAGACGAACCTAATGAAAAGAACAGTACACTACCAGAAGCCAATGAAATTATTGCAGAAACTGAAAAATTACTTAAAGAAACTGAAAAGCTTACAGCAATTAACATAACAGAAGATTCTTCATCTGATAGTACTAATACTGCAAAAAATCTGAAATCAAATCTTTTTGATAAACAATCTGAATTAACAAAAGATGCTAGAATATCTGATGTTGAGAGTAATGAAACTACTAACAAATCACAGATGGAAAAAGAAACTTTTAATATTGAGAATGAAAGTAAATCTGTTGCATCAAATAAAGAAGATAAAAAGTCATTGTTATCGTGTTTTGATTTCCACGAAGAGGAACCATCTATACCTCCAGTAAGGAAAAAATCACGCGCATTTCATCAGAAAAAAGAAATAATAAAAGAATTTGAAATGAGTCAAGCTTTGAAAACTGAACAAGAAAAGGAAATTGAACATAATAAACCAGAAGGTGAAGATAACAATACTAGTTCAAATGAATATGAAAGATTAGATACACAAACATCTTTAAGTGAACAAAAATTAGAAAAAAGTGAAAATAATGATAAAGTTACAATTGATGATAAAGAGACAAGTACTAAACTTGAACAAACACAGAAAAATATTAAATCTGAAAAAGAATCAGTAACAACACAAAAATCTAAAACTTGTGAAACACAATTAGAAATTGTAGAAATATTTGAAGTTGAAAAAGTTGAAGCCGGAAATGGAAATGTTATAAATGCCTCAAAAAATATTGATGTAGAAAATTCTGCAATGTCAAATATCAATAAGAAATTAACAGAAAACAAAAATTTGGATGTACAAAATATTGATGATAAACAAACAGATATTAAAGATGCGATTATCAGTGAAAATACAGAAAATGTAAAACATGATCATTTAAAGCAAACTGAAGAAACTTTGTCTGAACGATTTACAATAGAAACAGAAGATGAAACTGTTTCTGAATCGGCTGAAACATTTCCAGAGCAAAGTGAAAATTCAGATGCGGATATGCTAGATCAAGATCAAGTGCCTAATTCAAATTCTACAAATGTTTTATCAGACGGCGATCAGTTAAATATTCCGCAAGCTCGTAAGCATAGAGGTAGATCAAGAAGATCAGGATCTATTCGTACTAGCACTAGTGGAAGTCCCAGTGGTAGTGAGAGCCCAAAAATAAGAGATAGCAAAAGCAATTCAAAAGTATTTGAAAAATTTGAAATGGAAAGAAGAACATCAGAATCTGATAGTGAACGTTCATACAGTCGAAGAAAACGAAAACCAAATAAAAAATATTTAGAATCCGATATATATGTACAAGATATAGATCAAAAGATATATAAGACTGATGAAAGTCAATCTGAAAATGAAGAAAAATCTTCTGAAAAAATAAAAGTCAAATCAAAAAGAAATAAGAAATTTATAGAAATTATTAAAAAAATAAATGATGACATTGATCTCAAAGAAGAAAAAGAAATAGAAATTTCCTGTACAGTGGATACAACAGAAAATAATGTTAATTCTTCAAATATAGAATTGAAAGATGATTTATTTGAGAATACATCCAAAAACCAAATGCTTGTAGAATTAGATACGAAATCTGCCGACAATCAAACTCCCATTGAGAGTCCTAAAAAATTACAAGTATCAACTGAGGAAAAAGTTTCAGTAAAAGAATCTGATACACCTGTTCTTGAAGATACAAGCTCTTCAGTTACAGAAGATAATACTGTTAAATTTGAAAGTACAATTCTTGAACATGAGAAAATAAAAGATAATGACACTGAAAATACTCCAAGTAATCTTTCACAAGAAAGTTTAAAAGATCTAGAATCTTCTAATTCACTTCAACTGGAACTATTGTCAGAGAAAGAATCATCTCATCAACAAATAGATACCTCAAAAACTGTAGACATGCTTCCGCCTAAAAAGTCTCAAATAAAGAAATTTGAATTATCACAAATTGATTTTTTTGATACTGATGTCTCTACTCAAAAACTTACTATAGATTCTGGATTAAATAGTGAAGAAGAAAAAAAGAAAAATTTAAATATGAGTGAAATAATTGAAACTAGTACAGATTTAGTGACAATTGATTCTTCAAAACAGAAAGAAGATGTTCCAGAAAAATTTGAAACAGATACAAATAATATCGAAATTATAAAAGATTCAAATCAAATAGAAGAAGAAAATAAAATTCAAGTTGAAGACACAACTGTATCGATAAATCAAAAAATTGAGCATACAGAAATGGGAACATCAGAAAAAGAAGAACAAAAAATTGAATTAGAAAACGTTAAACAACAATCATCTACAGATTTAACAAATATATTAAGTGAGCAACAAGTTCAAAATAAAACATCTATACAAACAAGATACAAAGGAAAATTTACACCGGACACGTGCACTAGATTAAAAAGAGATAAAGAATTATTTTCTGAAGAAAAATCAACAAATACATTCCAAGAAGCTTTCTTAAAAACTTTGCATATGGACAAGAAAAAAGGCACATTGAATGACTCTGATACAATTGGAAAAGGAAAGAAAAGTAAAAAGTTAATGAAGAAAAAGCCTGAAGAAGAAATAAGTACGAATATGTCTTCAGAGATAACTCAGACTGTGACAACTGAAGGTTCAAATACACCAGAAAATTTTCCTATTCTTTCTCAAGTTACGGTTATGAGCAATTTTGAAGGTATGGAAGTAGTAGTTGATCAAAATCCTGAAATCGACACTAAAGTTGATGGGACTATTTTTCAAAATGTTGATCAACTTACATCATCATCATCACCATCAAATGAATTTAATATTATGTCTAAATCATTAATACAATCACCTACTGAAGAGAGTACTAAATCTATCAGTGTAGATGTGCAGAAGTTAGATGAATCTTCAAGAACATCTACTTCTACACCTTCTCCATCATCTGACGTTAATGTGCCGGTAAAAAAACGTGAAATGCCACGAATAATTGAAAATGTAACATTAACGGAACCTATGCAAATTCTAAAGTCAAAATTATTAGATAAATTACCACAAAAAGGAGTAAAACATAAACTAGAAACAGATAGTACAAAAAAGTCTGACCAAAAGGGTTCTCCAAAAACAAAAATGATGAAAATTGAATCTTCAAATACCAAAACTAAAACTGGTTCAAAGGTTACATCTCCACATTTATCTTTGACTAAAAAGTTACAAGTTTTAAAAGCAGAAGAAGCAGAAACAGCTGCAATGATAGAGGCACAAAATGAACAGTTAAATGTAAAAACTTCAAAAACTCCTGCTACAACTACTACAACTGAAAGATATATTCAACAAAGTTCACAGAGCTTAGCAGACATGGAACTAGATATAAATTCAATGCCATTTGTTTTAAGTGAAGATGTTCTAACTCCAGAAAGCATTGAACAAATGCCTGTTGTTATATCTTCTATTATACCTGCATCCAGTACAATTCCAGCAACATTATCTTTTACACCAACTACACAAATAGTATCTCCCACTCAAACTCAATTTAAATTGAATGAAAATACAAATGAAGTATCACCTACAAAGAAAAAGAGTGGTACACCAGCAATTTTGAAAAATAAAACTAAAGCAAAACCTACAATTACAAGTATAAAAACGCTGGTACCACCACTTACAGGTGGTGTGAAAGGTATAAAATTTCAAAATGCACCAGCAACAAATAAAGTACCACCACTTTTAACACAGAAAGGCTCATCAGGAAAGTACGTAGTGGTACAAACTTCTGGAGGACAACAATTGCGATATGGTGTTCAAGGAAAAACAGGTATGCAACAAAAAATTGCTATACCTGGTAAAAGTGCTGGAAATGCACAAGTGGTTCACCAAGGCAGTAAAGTAGTTATATTAACATCAGCACAATCAGGTCAAACTAAAATGCTGCCTTTAAATATCTCTAAAACACTAAGTGGCAAAGTTCAAAGAATTATGACAAGTAAAGGTCAAGTATATTGTCCCATCAGTCCTCAGGGTATCATAAATTCAAAAACACTTATTGCCCCAAAGGGAGATGGTGTTTCAGCAACAACATCTAAGCTTCCTGCTGGACATAAGATAATTAACACACAAGGTATCATAGCTTCAAAAGGAGTTCTAACTCCTATTTCAGGAGCAATTGGAAAAACTGCCCTATTAGGAACATTGTCTCAAGGAATTATCACAAAAGGTGGAATCTATACGCCAATAAGCACTTCTACTTTAGGTGGAAAAACTATTATTGGTTCAAAAGCTTTGGTTACAAAAGGTACAACCATTTTATCTTCACAGAATTTAGGTACTTCTAAAGCTATTTTGACTCCCATATCTCAAACTATTAGTGGCAAAACTATTTTGAGTACTCAAGGTATAGTAAGCAGCAAAGCAACAGTTTTGACACCAATAACAGGACAGCAAGTGAAAGCTATTGCAGCGAAAAGTCCATCTAAAGGAAATAAAGTACAATATCAGTCAGTGCAACAGAAAGTGCAACTACCAATGTTACACAAGTCACAGAAAGTTCCAGTGTCTGGTACTTCACAAGGAAGATCTGGACAAGTAAAAACTGGTGGCAACAGTACAGTAGTAATGCAAAATACCATTCCGCCACAGAAAACTATACAACAAGGAAAGAAAGTAATTAAACAGACAGTTGTACAGCAAGGTTCCGCTATTCAAAATATTCCATCTCAAGGTAGTCAACAGACAATTGGGATGAGTTCACAAGTTCAACAGAAAGGAAAATCTGCACCTACATCAACTGTACAAAAAGTTATTATACCCCGAGGTAGTCGACAACAAAAAACACAACAAAAAATAGTTGTTCAAAAAGTACAAGAACCTATAATTACGACTGTACAAAATATGCAGTCAAAACAAACAGGCACAGTACCATTAACTACTTTGTCAAATGTATCTAAAACAACGAGTCAACAAAAACAGGCAGCTAATATTACAACAACTACAAAACTTACTGCAAAAAGCCAAGTAGCAAATAAGTCTATTACACAACAGCAAAAAAATTTGGTGAACATTGCAATGAATTCAGTAACTGCAACTCCTTCTACATCTTTATCTCTTCCGCCGTTAGAACCTATTGAATCTGAAAGGAAATCAAAAATAGAAAATGTAATTGTTGAACCTATTCAGAAAGATCAGCCTAAATTAGAAAATTTCAATGTTGAAAAAAGTGGTGAGATAGAAAAAATAGAAGAACCAAAAATAACAACACAACCACAAATAATGGCTCTGCCAACAGAAAGCAGTGATGGAACACAAACTTATGTTTTAGTAACTATTGATGAACAAGGACAAATACAACCTCTTGATAATAATACTCTTATGTCATTAGAAGGTACTACACAAAATCCAGATGGCACAAGAACATTATACATAGATCCTAGTTCATTAGGAGAAGCAGGCACCATAGACAATATTGTTCTACAGTTTGATAATGCTGTATTACCAAACATACAAACCAATACTACAGAATCCAATCAAGCAATTATATCAGAAAGTCTTTCTACTTCAGAAGTAATACACACATCAAATCAAGATATTTTAGCTGCTGCTTTGGCAAATACAGATTTTCAACAAGAAATTAGTTTAACAGAGAATCTTGCAGGAAATGTAATGACCACTGGTTTGACTCAAACAAGTTTAATCAATCAAACTATTTTACAGTCAACTATTATACCTCCTACAGAACCAATATCTTCTCCCTCTGTGCTTGAAACTTCATTGACTTTAAATCAACCCATAATGACGCCTTTAGAAGTACCTAGTAATTTACCAATACAATCAGAATCAACTCCAACTTCTGCTGTGGCAACCATCCCGTCTTCTCTCGAATTACCGATAACAATCACAAGTCCTAATATTTCATACATTTCAGCGGGAGAAGCACAAATACAAATTCCTGGTAATTCTATGCCAGATATTGGAGAAATCATGGAAAATTCAAATACTACTGAAATCACTCAAACGGAAATCCCTGCAAGTACTCAATATTTAGTATTACCAAATTTAGAGGATAATATTACTGTAGAAACTTCAAATGAGCAGAGTAATACTATTTCAATGCCTAACGTTTCATATTCAGTTTCAATACCAAATAATATAGTTTTACAAAATTCACAAGTTCAAACTACTCCTTCAATGCCGATAATAGATGATACCTATGTTGAAAATGTGCAATTCACTTCAACTATAGAACCATCAATAGCAACGGAACAGACTTTTGTAGATGTGCCTGTTTCTGAAATGCTTGTTTCAAAACCAGTTGATTCCAAGGAAAATATAAAATCAGAAGATGTTGCTGTAACATCAGAAATGGTTGTATCTCATAGTATTCCGGTATCTTCCCAGGAATCTATTGTATCAACAAATGAATCTTCTTTATTAAATGAAGAACAAAATACAATACCTTTACAGGAAGTATACTCTTCTCAAGAAATTTCTATTAAGTCAGAGGAGATACTCTTGGAACAAACAGTTACTAAAGAGAATAATGTGGCAACTGGTAGCCAAAATGAAGAAGTTAGTAATAATGATAATGTAGTACACGTACAAATTGTTGAACAGTCAGATGATGCAATGACAAGTAGTATGTCGATAATGGATGAAAATACTTTAGTTACCTCTGAGTCTAATGTAAAAATTTCACCTAGAGAACACGCAAGTTTTGAAGTTTCAGATTCAAATGAAATCGATACAAATAGCTCACAAGAAACAGAGAATATAAAAAGATTTAAAGAATTGAGTTTTAACGAACAATCTGATGATAAACCCCATTCTCCCATATGTGAAGAACAAGCAGCAACATCTAATGAAGTAGAAATTGCTCAAGAAGCAGCACAAATTTTACCAGCAGAATCACTGAATCGTTTAGATGAACACAGTATGGATATAGATGAGACTATTGAATCAAAGATTTATGCTACAAGTGCAATGAAAGAATCAGAAGATTCTCAAAGAGATGAACCATCATCTCAAGGTGAATCAGATTTGGTCCAAAGAAATTTAGAATTACATTTTGAAGAAACAAATGCAGAGGCAAGCCATGAAACACCATCACAATCATATGAACAGTTTGGAATAGCAATGACTAGCGATTCCACTGATTTACCTAGTCAATCTGCTACAAAATCTGAAAATTCTAGAGAACCCTCGCAATCAATAACATATGAACCTATGGAAACAGATGAAGAAGCTGTTGCAACAGAACCACCGACACAATCATTTGAACATTCGAAGATAAACGAAGCTTCTCAATCATATGAAGCATCTGCAGAAGCAAGTACAAATGCACCTACCCAATCTTTTAACGAACTAATGCAAAGTCAAGACGAAAGATCGACTATCGATGATGCGATTGATGATCAAACGTTCCCAACACAGAGTTATGAAGTTGGTAAAGCAGAAAATATTCCAGAAAATTTAGAAACAGATGGTGAAATTAGTCAGGAAGGAAACATGCCGTCTCAATCGAACGATATTGGTACAGATGGGATTGGCACATCCTCGGTTTCTACAAATAATTCTGGTCTTAACGAAGACGAAACTGCTAGTTCGTCTTATGTTCCAGAAACGCCTGAGAATCAAGAAAGAGATCCAGATCAGGAAAGTGCAATAAGTACATCATCTTGTGAAATTCCACCTTGTGCTGAGTTGAATATTGCATCATCTAGTGCAGAACATACAAGTATCCATGACAATGGAGTACCTGAAATACCTACATCTTCATATAATTTGAATCCAGACATTACTTCAACACATGTGGATTCTGTACCAACTTCTAGTTACGAAGAACAAAATGTATCAACTTCTTATGAAGTGCCAATTTCAATGCCTGGCTTAGAGGAAACTCCATCTCAAAATTTTGTTACAGAAAGTACAGATCATAGAAATGAACCATCTAGTTATTATACTCATCATCAAGAAGTAACAGCAAGTTATTATGAATCTGTAGGGCAAGAAACAAATTCGAGATTGGATGAAGATCCACAAGAGGAAGTTACTCCCAGCTATTATGGTAGTAATCCACAAGAAGCAAGTCAAAGTTATTTTAATCCAGAAGAAGCCACGCCAAGCTATTCCAGTCATAATGTCTCTCCCAGTTATTATGATCACAGACCAGAAAGTGAAGCAAGTCAAAGTTATTATTCTGCAGATGATATAGAAAAGTCAGAGCAGTCTTCCTCACAAAATATTGAGGCATCACAAAGTTTTTATCAAGAACAGTCTGATGAACTAAAATTATCCCAACAAGGAGAAGCTACACCGACATATACGGAAAGATATCCAGTTGATTACACATTGGAGAATTCACCAATAGAAAGACACGATCTTGTAGAAAGTTCTGTACCAGCCACTAGGCCTACAGAGAGGTAATATATTATGATGAAAAATAGCGTTGTGCTATAGAAAGAACCCTTGTTTTCATAGACTAATGAACATTACAGCCATTGATAGATAAACTCGTCTATTTTCAAATGTAAATATAACATTAAGACGATAAGTGATTAAATTTAAGATTAAAATTAGATTCTTATACTATAATTTATATCTATATAAATAAATATATATGTCTAAATGTATGTGTATGTATGTATATATATATATGTGTGTGTATGCATGTATGTATATATGTATACATACACGTTATCACAAAACGCGGTGCTCGTTTGCTGCTGTGCGTGCATATGTGTATGTATATGTACATATATATATACACATATTCGTAATTGCGGATATAATCCGTACATAGAATTTGCTACGTGAGCAGTGTAATTACAGAAGAAAACTATGATTTCATTGCAAAAATATTATCTTATATATTCATCTCATTTAATACATTGAAATAATGTAAAAATTTCAATCTATTAAATTAGATAATCGTTCATAACTTCTTTTTCCTTTCTTTTAACTGAACACAATACTTTATTATATAATAAATTATCTATACGTTTTTGAATACAATGTACATGTAATGTGTATATTGTAAAATTTTGTAAAATGTCATTGGAGTAGTAGTAACAACTGTTAATTATTGCTAGTTTTGCAAGCGAAATTACGCACTACGTGGACAAACATAAAACGATTGTAAAATATTTGTACATTATCACGGATTCTTATGGAAGATAGACAAAGTCAAATAAGAACCAAAAAAGTAATTCGGTGAAACTACTACCCCATAATGGCAAGTCCTAATGAATGAATAAAAAATAAATGCACAATATATCTTCAATAAATATCAGTACATCTTAAGATATTTGTAAAATTCAAGTAAATAGTTTCTTGAATTATTGTTTAAAGACTTAATTTTTCAGATAAGTTTTTCACTATTCTTTCTCACCACTTATGAACCTACCTGCTGATAGAGAAGTCTTTATGTATAATCAGAAGTGTAGATAATTGAAAGACTCAAGGATTGAATTATTACATATACATTGTTTATTTGTAGGTAATAGTTTACATTTATGAGAAATAAAAAAGCCTATTATTTCAATTATAATGTATAATCCGTGTGCTGATGAAATGTAAAGCATAAAAAAATTTAATAGAAGATCTGTCATGTTTGATATGAGTTATTAATATTTATAGAGGAGTAATTTTAAAATAAATATTCATATTGATAGAAATAATCGATTTATTGTAAACAAAATTATTTTATTCCTGTAAAATATTTGCAATAATTTTATAAATAAATAGATTTTTACATACATATAATATACAAATATTTTAATCGTTTTCCTCGTGTAGTTTGAAATAAATAATTCTTTTTAAAAACTGGAGCAAATCTCAAACAAGACAGATTTTCCAACATATTCTAATATAAAAACGGTTATATTATATTCTTTATAACTCATGTTATCAAAAAAAATTGTTTTTTTCGCGGCGTTTTCAATCGTGATCACGCATGTATATATTATGTTACTATTACGGGAAAGAAGTTATTAACTACATTGGACTTGAAGGAAAAAAAAAATTTAGCCAGATCAGTTTTCAAAGATGGACTGAAATGTTAATATTATTAAATTGCTTTTTGAATTCAATCAATATATACATAAATATATATGTACATATATTTTCCACTCAAAGAAGTATAATAAAAATTTCTGTACCTAAAAATAGAATATAATACTGTGAAATGGGGAAAATATAATTACATTTTCTATTAAAATTTTTTGGTACAATCGTAAGTTGGCATATATTGCTTCATTGAAGTAATCAAATTTAAGTGACATAAAATGACAGTGATTAAAATAGCATTAATGCGTTCTTATATGGATAACAATTTGATATTTTCATCACTAACAATATTATCTTTTTATTTCTACAGTGTGCACCACATACACGATTGTAACTAAGAGATAAAATAAATACATGAATATTTACGTAACAAATTATATATGCAATAAATGTTTTTGTTGTTTTATTATTTAAAATTATCCCATTACAATAAATTTTTGCCTGTAAAAAAATATATTTACTCTTTTGTTTAATATATCTTTATAAAAAAATTAGCAAGTAATATTTTTATTGTACTTTAAACTGTATTTTACGGAAATTGTTAAAAATTATCGTTGACATGTATAATTTATACGTGTAGTTTTTACATATGTGACATATACAGTAAACAATTTTTTTATTATTGTGATCGCATGACATGTTAATTATTAAAAATTTTTGTATGCAATTTACAAACGTATAAAAAGTTCTATTCTTTGTTATTATTATCAAAGATTTATTACCTAAAGTAATCCCAAAATACAATAAATTATGTTACATTTATAGACGTATGGCCATTTATATACAATATAGTAATATTTGTAATAGTTATAAAGGAACACAGTCTTTATAATCATTATCTTAATTGATTTGGTTTCATTTTCGCCAGTATTGTGCAAATTTGTGTAATTGTTCCACTAATACTGCCATTACAGCCGTTATTGATAAGTCCAAAAGATTATGTACATAATGTACTGCTTCTTCATCACTTAAATCCAATCGTAGTTTATCTTGAACCTTTTTAACAGCTTTATCTGGTTCCAATGCAATGTCTGGTACACTAGCGTCAACCATTAACGAAAACAAATTTAAAATTAAATTAGCATGTCTGCGCAAATGTAGAAATGCAGTATAACACTGTTTTCGAAATTCATGATAATGTTCTGAACCCACTCCTCCCATAGCTTCAACCATTTCTTTGCTTAATTTCATTGGTGGAGGTAATGGCTTTGGATCTCTACCCAAAATATAACCGAAATCTATATGAAAAAGTTTGCCTGAAATATCAATATCATTTAATTTCATGAAAAATTTATTTTTACATATCTCGACAGTCTATATGTAATCAAAGAATTTATAAGAGAAATTACCTGATGTTGTTAAAAGTAAATTATCCAAATGTCGATCACCGACACCGAGTACATACGTAATAATACAGTAACCAGCTAAAATTTCACGATTTTATCAATATATGAATTTATTAAATATAAATTATTTATTAATATAATTCTTACCACAACTTCGAACATAAGTATCCATAACTTCAGGTACAACACCGTAAGGACCATTTTCAGATGGGTGATGTTTCCGGAAAAAACTTAAAATGGAACCTTCACTAGCTAAAACTTCTGCAACTGTTGTAGACTCAATAAATTGTAAAAAACCATGTCTAGTACTTGTTGCAAGTACCCTGAAAATGAAACAATTTATATTTTAAATAATACTATACATCGAAAAATTGTTCTAAGAACTTTTACCTATAAGGAGTGAGTTTTAAATCCAAGTTTTCTCTTCTTAATAACTTGTCCATAAGTGCAATTGTTTGTAAAATTAGCTGATCTTGTCTAAGATCATCACCATTTTTAAAAATCGCAATGTATTCGCTGTTATCCGTTGTTAAAAATGTTAATTTAGAAGGCATAAGAGCTGATTTAAAAAGACTGGCTCTAAAAAAATGATTTAAATTACTGAAGTATATCATTATTATGTAATATATATAAAAAAGTTATGCATACTTTCCGGGTATAATTCCTTTGATACAAATTTCTGGATCCAAAGGAAAAGGTATTTGTTCAAAATTAGAAAAATTGATCTTAAACGCTGGGTCTGGATCTGTCAATAACATTCTGAGTCGATCAGTTTTCTTTTTACGATTTCCACTTTCTCGTGCCACTGCTTTGACCAATGCGACTAATTGATCAATAAATACTTTTTGACGTAAAAGAAATGCTCTTCTTTTTTGCCAAACAGTATTTCCTTGTGCCAGTGTCATTGAAAACATTGACATTACAGTATTATACATTTCTTTGACGCGAGTATCTTGTTTTGCACTTATGGATGGATCACTTTGATCCTCACATTCAATAGAGAGGTACCAATAAAAATAATTAGCCAATGTAGTATTTTGGCATGCACGAGTAATCAAAAAAGATGCTAAATCCATAAGAGAATCTTGACTTCTTGAGAAATGTGCACTTTCAGATTCGCTAGACTGTATATCCTGTGTATTATTCATAATAAATTAAAAATTCAATGTTTATACTATGAAGATACTTACCGTCGTTACAGCTGCAGATGAAGAATCGTTAATTTGTACATCTCGGTCTAACTTTTCAATTTTTTCAGATTCCTTTTCTTTTATTAATGCTTGATTTGCTCTTTTGATATTTTCGAAGTCTTCGTATTTTAAAGCTTGTACTAATTGTAATAAGTACAACATTAAATCATCATCAGGCGCTTGATTAAGTCTAGTAATAGCATATCTTCTAACAGCTGGATGCGTAAATGCTGGACCAAGTAATTCTAATGCATCTTCAGGATCAGGTGGTGCCCACAATGCTAACATTTCTAACGCTTGTCGTTCTTCTCCAGCAACTTTCCAATTTACACATTTCACGAATTTCGTCAAAGCTTTCTTTTGATTTGACAAATAAAATCTATATTTCCAAATAAGATCTTGTTCTTCTGTAGAAAGAGCTGTTGTTGGTGGATAACTTATTATTATATTTAAAGCATCACGAACATTTGAAGTTGGTTTTAGTTCTCGAGTATGACCACCGCTTCGTAAACTTCGAGCTAATTTGTGATGTTTTATTTCTACAAGATTTTCCTAATAATAAAATAAATAAATATAGGAATTATACGTATATTAAATAATGGAAACTAATATTTTTATCCTTTTTTCTCTACTTGCAAAATTTTTTATAGTATTTCGATAATTAAACTTATAAATAAAGATCAAATGTATTTATATATTTTATATAAAAATTTATAACCATACTTGTAAAATTTCATAATCAGGCAGAGTTACAACATCTGGTTGTGATCTATGTTGAACAACTTCATCTCCATCTTTTTCATAATAAACTATAGAATACTAGAAATATATATAAAATATTAAAAATAAGACTATAGAATAATAGTTTATAGCATTCAAATTTAAAAATTTTTATACCTGTATTCCATCCATAGTAACTTCTGGAAATTCAATCATTAAGTACAAATATTCAGATGCTCTTTTCTCCCTTTCGTTAATTAACTCAATTTCTCTAAATGTTAGTCTGTCTAGCCAGTCAACTTTATTCATTTGACCATTCCTGTGCTTTTTAACAAGTTTTGCTAATCTTTGCATTTGTTCCTTTCCATGATCTTTAGTTTTCCCTGGTGTGCTAGATAGTATACTACCATCTGCTTCTACTCCAGGCCACACTCTAAGATCCAACATTCCTTGACGAAACACTCCATGTTTTCCAAATAAAGATATTGTTGTACCACCAACTGGCAATTGTCTACCAGGTCCAGCACAATCATATAAACTTATACATAATTGAGCATCCCGTGGTAGATCAGAATAAGAAATAGGAAGTGTTACCCATTGATTCCAACTAAGAAAATCAATGAAATTCAAATATATAGTACATGTATTTTAGAGCTATGATTTCAATGTACTTCCAGAAAAATGATACGTACTTCCAACGTGATGTGAAATGTTTATATGCTGTGTGAACAGGTAAGGCGAGTGGTCTACCACCAGCCCACACTTGTAAGGAAGCTCCCAAATCCCCTCGTCCTCCATTGGATCCATACAGACCAGAGTATTTTAACATAGGGTCAATAAGTAATTTGTCATATTCTGGTCGTTGTCTTTTACCTTCTAAGGTTCCTCTATGAAAAACAAAATGTATGATATTAGAATGTATAAATTATCGTGGAATTACATTAAAATTCACGTGTGTCTATATGGCATTTTAATTAAAAGAGCCAATGAAATCGGATAATCTGCAATGAAATATTTGATTATCTGTTCTACATATAAATTAAATATCGCAATCGGATTATTTCATATTTACTGCCAGTAGTAGTAGTCATCTGTTTCTAATAAGTGAGACACACTGAAGCAATTATTATGGTAACCTGATACCAGCTGATACTGACACTTATTACATTTCACACACATGCAATGAAATCTTACATTTTAATTTGTATCTTCGTGTCTAACGAAGAACTGTACACGTAGAAAAACTTATCATTAATATCCTCCATCATTTTATAAAATTATTTTACACATCATAAAGTTCACACGTTTCTCTATTTCGCATTTTCTGTCTATTATACTATTGTATCTAAATACATTGCTGCAGTTGCACATCACAGACGAGATATATGAAAAGACTTTGCATCTTATGGGACTTTGTGTCTCACGATCTGAAATACCGACATGGTAAAAAAATCATCGGTTTTTAGCGCACTCTGCATTTAAAGAACGATGAATTGAGAAACTACTTTGTTTGTATGGCTATTACTGTCAGTAGGTAACTTATCATTCTTAGATAAAGTTGTAGCAACAGTAGCAATGGTTGTAGTCTTATGTAAATTATGTTCAAATAACTTGTGTTTTGAACAAAGCATTCTTTTCAATTTTACTTTCTTACTTATATATGTATTTAATTTAACAGCAGTAAACAAGTTCTCCCACCTTTATTAAATATTAAAGTATTACAATAAAATTATAAAATACAATTATTACTCAATTATATTGTATAACGTTTAATATTTTATTACAAATATTTGTTATAGAACTACATGTAGTATGGCAGGATTAAAGAACAAACAATCTTGATTTTATATTATTGTGCATTCAAAAAATTATAATAAAAACCAAAAGTAATCATAGGGACATTTCATATTTATATTGGCAATGTCCATTTTACTAAAGTATATTTCATCCTAAGAGTGGATTGCTCTTCGAATCATTATTCGTATCTTTAACAAATTCTCACGAATTCCCGTCTTTCGTTTTCTTTTGGAAAAGTTAGGCGTATATTTAATTGTTTTTTCCTTTAACATAATATTTTACCGCTACAGTAATTGAAGAAAAATGTTCGGACCAGGGGCTGCTCCGATTGTGGTATTAAGTATGTAATACAATGATAATTTCGATTTTCATTTATTTCAGTAGTGAGATCAAGAAAAATCCATTCCGTTATGTCGTGTGCTTTGATTATTGCAGGTCAAAATACGAAACGAGATACTGGTCGAAAAGTTCAGAGAGAGAATATACAAGCCGGAAAGGTAAGTCTCTACGACGCGTTCATATTTTCCTTTTATGGCCTTCATTGAATACGTACGCCCACGTGTATTTCTCTAAGAATAACTCATTCATAATGTTTAATAATATAAATAATATAAATAGTATAAATAATATAAATAATATAAATAGTGTAATAATATTTTTAATATTTTTGTACCTAAGTAATATCAGTAAAATGTTCATAGATGTTTCCTGAAGTGCATTAAAACATATTTGTACATTTAAGATGAACTTTCAAATTTTTTAATATTGTATGTTCCTATAAAGGCAATTGCAGATGTTATTAGAACATGTTTGGGACCACAAGCAATGTTGAAAATGTTGATGGATCCAATGGGAGGTATAGTCATGACCAACGACGGAAATGCCATATTACGTGAGATAACAGTACAACATCCTGCTGGGAAATCTATGATAGAAATAGCTAGAACCCAAGATGAAGAAGTTGGAGATGGTACTACATCAGTTATTGTGTTGGCTGGAGAAATTTTAGCCACTGCTGAACCGTTTCTTGAACAGAATATGCATCCTACAATTATAATAAGAGCATTTCGTCAAGCTTTGGAAGATATGGTGGCTATTCTTAATGAACAAGTTAGCATAGATCTGGACAGCAATGACAGAAGTAAATTGATTCAGGTTATTAATTCCTGTGTGGGTACTAAATTTATTGGACGTTGGTGTGAGTTAGCATGTCAGATTGCTTTAGATGCAGTTTACACCGTTATGCTTGAGGAGAATGGCAGAAGAGAAATAGATATAAAACGTTATGCAAAGATGGAAAAAATCCCTGGTGGCACTATTGAGGACAGCACTGTCCTTAAGGGAGTGATGTTCAACAAAGATGTCACTCACCCAAAAATGAGAAGACATATTAAGAATCCAAGAATAGTTTTGTTGGATTGCTCCTTAGAATATAAAAAGGGAGAATCTCAAACCAATATAGAAATAATGAAAGATACAGATTTCACCAGAATTTTGGAATTGGAAGAGGAGTTTGTTAAGAAAATGTGTGAAGATATTATATCTGTAAAACCTGATGTGGTAATCACTGAAAAAGGAGTATCAGATTTGGCACAACATTATCTTGTCAAAGCTGGTATTTCTGCTATCCGTAGATTGAGGAAAAGCGACATTAACAGAATTGCAAGAGCTTGCGGTGCAACTGTTGTTAATCGTACGGAAGAATTGAGAGAGGAAGATGTTGGTACCAGAGCTGGTCTTTTCGAAATTAAAAAACTTGGGGATGAATACTTTTGCTTTATTACAGAATGTAAAGATCCTAAAGCATGCACCATAATTTTGAGAGGTGCTAGCAAAGATGTATTAAATGAAACTGAAAGAAACTTACAGGATGCACTTCATGTTGCAAGAAATCTTCTCATTGAACCTAAATTAGTACCAGGTAATGTTTATTATTGTAATAGCACACTACACAGGCTTATAAAATATATATTATTATATTATATTTTTATTTTTAAAGGTGGAGGAGCTGTGGAAATGGCAGTATCAAGACTTTTAACAGAAAAAGCAGCAAGACTTGCAGGTGTAGAGCAATGGCCTTACAAAGCTGTGGCACAAGCGCTAGAAATAATTCCAAGAACGCTTGCACAAAATTGCGGGGCAAATACTATTAGAACTTTAACTGCATTACGTGCAAAACACGCCACCGAAGGAATGACATGGGGTATTGATGGAGAAACAGGTCAATTGGTGGATATGAAGGAACGTGGTATTTGGGAGCCTCTATCTGTGAAATTGCAGACATATAAAACGGCTATTGAAACTGCTATTTTATTGCTAAGAATTGATGATATTGTATCAGGAAGTAAGAAGAAAAAGTCAGAAAATGAACCTGCCCAACCTGCACAAGTCTCAGAAGAATCTATGAAAGATTAGAAATATTAATATTTATATTGTACTTGTAATGCTTTTATTTGTTAATATTTCATAATTCATGATAATTTTATTGAAACTTAATACATGTTTATGAAACACTGTACGCATTTTCATAATAATAAAAATACTTCAATAAGGTATTAAAACTCAATACAAATATTAGAACCTTAACTGTATTACGTGCAAAACACGTCATCGAAGAAATGTTATGGAATATTGATGGAGAAACTGATCAATTGATGGATGTTACGTCCTTATTTTATTTTTGCTTTTCTATCTGATACTTGTATCAACAATGCATTATAAACTGTCCCAGTGCATATCTAATATACCATAGTAAAATTTACAATTTACATTTTACTTTTATTCATTTACTTGATTTGCTACAAGTAATCAAATAATTATAAATCTAATTTTCTATAAAGTGTGAAGTCTCAATTATTTTAAAACGATAAGAAAATATAGTCTATCCTATCTCTATTTCTCATAATTTTTAAATCACTAGTAATTAATGATCAACTGGGACATGAGTCGAGCAATTGTACTAGCAATTTTGTTTCTAAAAAAAAGAAAAAAACAGAAAAATTTCTGAGGAGATTGTGATGCATTTCGAGAAAGGTGGCGTTTCACGCGACACAGGTATATCGATTGTGTGTGTAGGGTGGCCGGCATGAGTGAAGGCCGACGAATGGGACATAATTTTTGTAACGGCTCTTTGCGAAACTCAAAACTGTTCGGATAAACTGAACGATGAGCATGAATATGAGATGATGCCAGGCACGTCTCGCAAATTGGGAACTTCGAACGGTGGTAAAAACCGACTTCTTTTCAATTGTTTTTAATCATTCTACATTCTACACGATATCGATGTCGATGTTTCTGTCAAGGCTGGCAGATGTTTAATATTTCTCCGCGATTCGATACGATCAAGAGATGCAAAGTGCAACAACGTTTTTAATACACGATTATTCTGATCTTAATGAAAGTACATCCACGTGGCTACGTGTGTATGGAAGTGATTTTCATATCTGTTTACTACTGGATTGACAGGTGTCTATGTTCTGTTAGTTTTGAACAACGACTATTAATAAATGATTATTATTGTACAGTATCATGTATTGATTTTAAGAGATTAAGAAACATTCATTTTACTGTTTCTTTTCTATTTGTATTGATAGACATTATTTGTAAATAATATTCCTTAAGGTGTTCATGTAGTAGAAATAAAATGTTTATTATTTTGTAAACATTTGTATTTCTTTTTTATATGCACATATGTATATTTTTTGAATAGCATTATGAGTTTATGAAAAATCTTGTTTTTTGTTAGTTGATAATTTTACTTTAATATCTATCAAGTGCTTTATTTTGTTGTAAGAATAACACAGAGTTTTCTATATTGGTAAAATGATATAAGCAAGATATATATTCTTTTTACATGTAAAAATTTTTATTTATCAAATAGGCTCTGAGTGGGACACTTTAATGGAGGTTCATCATGAACCAATTGAAAAAAACTATAAATTGTTGGAAGAAATTGGGAAGTAAGTCACCATGTAATGTATTAATGTGTACATTATACACTTATAATAAATGTATGAAATTATGAATGTCAATATATTTGTAATTTACAGAGGACAATTTGCAATAGTACGAAAATGTATGGAAATGAAAACTGGAGAGTTTTATGCTGCCAAAATTATGAGAAAAAGAAGAGTTGCTAGAGGTGTGGCAGCTGAAGACATTGGTAGGTATTTTTACAAATATTTCATAATATTTTCTGCTCATAAATAATTGTTGAATTTTTGTTTTAGCTCGAGAAGCAGGTTTATTAGCACGACTAAGACATCCAAATATTGTTTCATTGCACAAAGTCGTTGACACAGGCACAACAGTTGTTTTACTTTTAGAATTAATTTCAGGAGGAGAACTTTTTCATTGGGTACCGTCTGGTGAATTAGAGGCTGCACATGTGGTTTGTAATCTTTCACTAGCAGATGTAGTTTAAAATAACTAATATATTTAACAATAATTCAACAATCTAAATATATAGGTTCGTCAAGTTTTAATGGCTTTAAGCCATTTACATTCTCATCAAGTTGCTCATTTAGATATCAAACCTGAAAATATTCTATTATCAACCCCACCACCTATGCCAAATATAAAATTAATAGGTAAGTTATAAGCGTTAGTAATTTGGTATTTAAGTTTATATGTAAATGTATCATTTAAAACATGTAATAAAAATTTACGTATATCAATTTTTTGTAAAGATCTAGGTCTTTCACATCGACTAGTACCTGGATCTGAACACAGAGCATTATTTGGTACACCTGAGTTTGTTGCTCCTGAAATCGTAAATTATGAACCGCTCAGTTTGGGAACTGATCTTTGGGCAGTAGGTGTTTTAACATACATTCTCTTAAGTGGTGCGTCACCATTTCTAGGTGAAGATAAACAAGAAACTTATGCGAATGTTGCTGCTTGCCAATATCAGTTTGACAATGAATATTTCAGTACAGTATCTGAAATTGCCAAAGATTTCATAAGATCCTTGTTGATCAAGGATCCAAAGTAAGTAAATTTAGAAGTAACTTATTAAAAAATTTTATTGTGAAATCTAAAATGGCATGATTTGATTTTCAGAGAAAGAGGAACTGCAGAATCGTGCCTTAAACATCCTTGGATCCTCACGGTCTGTTCCTGAATGCAATATTATAATTTTCCTTTGTAATTGCCAGGCTGACTATAATTTTTGTTTTTAATTATTCATATTATTTCTTTTGATTTCTTATAAAGTAACATTTATTTATGTACATCGCGTGACTAATGTTAGTATCATTTGTACAGTTACATATCTGTTATACATCATACGTACACATTATTTTTACAGAATATACATAAGTTGAATGTAACTAATTTTTTATTGAATATATGTACCTTAATTATGTTTTAAAAAATACAATTTTTTTACATAGCATTATACAATATAGAAATATTATTCATGCATTGATAATTCATTTTTGAGAAAAAATTTTTATGAGGATTTATATATAAATATATAATTTTGTAATTGTGTATTGTAGTATAATTGATCATAATATAAAATAATATAATAATATAATACTGATCAAAATAACTTATTTGTTCTTCTGTAGGAATCAGAAGCCTCTCAAGGTCTTGGTGGAGCAATGATTAGTGCCGTTAAACGAGGCTGTGTTGAGGCTGTGTCTCAGTTACTTCTGCAAGGAGCACCATTGAATGTGAAAGATTTTGTAAGATTCTTTCGATATACGAAAAAAAGATACAAGATTGTTTTCTTAAGTCAAATGTAATATAAATAAAATATAAATAACTTTATTATTACTATTTTTTTTTAACAGAAAGAAGATACGCTTTTGCATATAGCTTGTGAAGCGGGAGATGAAGGAATGGTAACTTTTTTAATAGAAAATGGAATAGATTTGGATACACCAAACAAGAAGGGCTTAACACCACTTCATGTGGCTGCTAGACATGGTTTCATTAATCTCGTTAGACATTTGTGCCTTGCTGGTTGTGACGTTGATAAAACAAATCGTGGAATTAGAGCGGATGTAACAGCAATCAAATATGGACATCCTGATATTGCATCATTGTTGGATAAACTTCGGAATGTATGTTATTAAATGATTTATTTTTACTATATTTAGTATTGTTTTACACTAACGAATCTAAATTTATAGCCCATTCAACGTGAAAATTATATTAAACAGTTGCAACCAACACATAGACCAATAGATCGTTTACACATAAGACTTTTAGGACATTGTGCATCAGGAAAATCATCTTTAATAAATTCTCTAAAATCGGGCATTTTTAGTTTTGGGTTTTTTAGAAGATCAAGAAGTCAGAATTATACTACAAAGGTAATTATTATTTTATATTTATTTTGACGTATTGAAACAAATTAGTTTTATCGGGAATAATTTTATAGAGGGAACCAAGTATTGAATTAGACGTAACTAGCAAGCATGGCTCACTTAGTTTTGAATACAGTGACAGTGAATATGAAGGTACACAAGGAGTAGAATGGAGTCGCGGTAACGTAGGTGAGAAATGTAATTTTAAACATTTTTATTTATGATTATACAAAGTTACATGTATTTATAAATTTAATAAGGTGGAGAATGTATTTTTTGGGAATTATGCGGCCGGGAGGAATTTTTAGCATCTTATCACTATGTACTTACTTTTCAACAACCTGCTGTACACCTTATTACAGTCAGTCTTAGAGAGCCACTCACTATACAACTTCAACAAGTAAAATTTTGGCTACGATTTATTTCAGATCGTATTGCATCAATTAATTTCGGTAAGTTTCTTGTAAAGAAGAATATAATTATATTTATTAGCAAATTATAGATTTTTTAAATCCGTTTTTCTATAACAGGTTTTGGTGGCAAATATAATGATGTAAAAGTAATTTTAGTTGGTACTTATGCTCCAGAACCTCTTGCTCCAAACACAAATAGTGCAAGCCTTCTTGCCCCACTTTTACCTTTTTTGAAAGAATTTACACTAATTTTGGGAGATGAACCCCAAATGGTCGCGGTGGATGCAACTAATCCTTCTAGTCCTGGTCTGAAACTTCTAAGATCTTACTTGAATAATGCAAGGATGGAATTTTTAGAGGTGAAGTGATTGAACGATTTATAAAAATTGTCATACATCTTTTACACATATAACAACATTTCTTAAAAAACAAACATTATTACGAGTCTCTCAGTTTTTTATAATAACTCGTAATTATTAAAATTAATTCTTTACCGAATCAAATTAATGGATTTAGAAATTTAAAATTCTGAATAAAATTTTTATGATATATCAAATAAATTAAACTATTGCATGTTGTCATACAAAATATCAAATTAAGATCATTGTATCAAGATCACTTAACTTAAATTGAGAATATAGGATGTAAATCATATGTAAATATATTATTGCTTTAGCATGAGTAACAATTGTAAGGTAAAAAAAGATATTTAAGGATGTAAATACATTTGAATATCTGTGATTTACATTCAAAAATCTCAGTTCAAAATCTGCAATCATTTCATGCTTGATTGCACGAGCGACTCGTTTAGTAAAAAGAGAAGTCATATGATATATTATTAAAGAATTGATGCCAAATATATAAAATATCAAAAGATTTAGGTTCAGCTTAATATATTTGTGTACATAATTATACTTCCACATTTTTTACAGGGATATCGCCAGTGTTTGTACAGCATGCAATAAATGTGTGCATTAACATTTTCAAAACGATTCTGATTAGAATCAAGTCATTTCATTTGCATAGTGCCAATTACATTTAAACGATTCACGTCTCTTTGATTTCAAATCCCACAATGTTAATACTATGTTAATCAAAGCATTCATTCCTAAATATGATGCAATCCTTTTTGTTGAAGTTATTGTTCAGTAATCCATGGTCATTTCATGATGCATGGTTGATTTAATATATATGTACAAGTAATTAAGCTCACCAAATATAATACTTTGTATTATTATTCATAATTTTCGATTAAAATAATTATTTGCGACATTTAATCAAGCACTTCTTAAAAAAAAAAAAAAAAACAGATATAAGTAAAGTTTCTTAAATCTGCTATCACTCTATCACATAATCAATTTACTAACAACATATATTTTAGTTGCTGATTATTTGGTCATTAACGTTTATTAACATCAGCCTTACTGCATGCAATGCATGATGTAGGAAGGACCGGAAGTTGCAGAAAGTATTCTCCGACGTGACACGCCGCGGGCTGCGGCCTCGTACGTGCCCTTGGCGAATCTTGATAAACAGGTCGAACTATTTCTCAATTCCTTTGATAAAAGTGATGCGTATAATGAAGCTGTAATTTATTTAATAATTACTCTAATGCTTTAACCCATTAATACATACGTGCACTACTGTCCAATGCAATTAAGAAACTACTCTTGTATATATTTTCTGCATCAGTGTATTATTTAATATTTCCCCTTTGTATTTTATCATTAAAGACTTCATAATTTTATTATAGAGTGCACTAGTGTGGACTGGTCTTGCTGAATCTTGGAGATCATATGTTCAATCTTTAGAGGTACCTCCAGTTATGCTAACGCAGGAGGAATTTTTGAAGGAAGTGAGAAAAATTAATCCATTAGTTTCTTTAGAGCATTGTCGACACCTTGGCTTACAATTACAGGTACCTATTTCTGCCATTACATTCTTTTAATTTAGCTTTCATTCTTGGTGTTATTAATTAAAATTTATCTTTAGAATTTAGGGGAATGTATGCTTCTTCCTGGGAATTTAATAGTTTTAAGTCCAGAATGGTTCTGGCAGGATGTAATAAATTGGCAATTAAGTCTAGAACAACGAGGACGTCTTGGTGGTCGTACTACAGGGGTTTATGCTTTAGAAGATTTTCAGGCTCGTTGTCCGTGTCCCGCGGGTCAGGCTTTACAAGCTCTACAAGCTGTAAATTTATGTGTGCCGGTATGTACTTAAGTGTCTGTATTTTGTTTGTACAATAAAATCACGTAAGTTTATTTCAGTGCGAGGTGGATGATGATGAAGTAGAATATGAAATTCCATGTTTAAATCTTGTCGAGCGTTTACCAGGGTTATGGGAACCATGGAAATCATGCTCTAATGCTTTGCCTCATACTGGTCTTCGCCTTTCTCCATCCGAAGCACCTTTATATCATTTGATCGCGGTGTTTCCGCATTTACAAGTATGTAGTAAACATTTATGTAATTTTAATTATATATTTTTTTTTTTATAATTGCAAGCAGATCTTTGATGACGGTATGATGTTAAATAGGCACAATTGAGAAAAATCACTCAAACATGGGATCCATCAAATTCAGATTTATATCAATGGTGGAGGGGATCAAAATTATGTATCGGTCCTTGTGAAAGTATTATTACTTTTGAAGAGAAAGAACAGAGTTGCATAGAGATAAGAGTACGTGGACCACGAGGTACAAGTGCTCAATGCTTTGCACTTTTCAGCATTATTCTTGATGCTATTGAGACAACAATCGAATTAGTCGCACCAGGCATGTTACTTGAAAGATACTGGTTAAGTCCTAGTCAACTTCGGGAATATAATGAAGTTAGTTATCTGACAATAATCTGAATGAGAGAATAATCTAATGTAATTAAAATATACTTAATGTTTATCATGAAATTTTATAGATTATACATTCTTGGGAACCAGCACCAGTTATATCAGCTTTAATTGATAAAGGTCTCGAAGAAGCAACACTCAAAAATCCTTTGAATGGTCGAGAAGAAACTGTATGGGAAATAATAAGTTGTGGACTACCATTAGTAGAGAACTGTCTTCCTGGACCAAGGCAACCAGTAAAGCAAATCAAGTCTGCTGTACAAAGAAGATTAGCGCAGATGCTCGATCCTCCTGATCGTCACGGCAGAGATTGGTGTTTACTTGCTGTAAGACTAGGTTTGGGAGATCGAGTCGCTCAATTAGACAGTACAGTAGACAGTCCAACGTTAAGGTGAGACAATATGTAATTATTAATTATAATCCTGGATTAATTATACATATATATTCATATTTCATGAAATTTATTGTTCGATAGATTACTTAACACGGCTGGTGTTGATTGCACCGTAGGATCTCTAATACAACAATTACGAGCTCTTGATCGAGAAGATGCTGTACATCTTTTGCTCTCTTATACACCGACATATATATTGTCAACGGCTACTGACTCTGAAACAGGATCTAATCTTTCTAGATGACAATGTTGCATTTATCAATGGTGCATTAATACTTTGTGAAAGATGGATTTCTGAAGGGAACTTTTTTCCTTATTATGGGTTTAATAGACCTATTACGTCACCGCTTCCGCCCAACATAAATTGTGCATTGCTCTTTAAGCTAAGTACATTCTTTATGTACTTCTTTAGAAGTATGTTGAAATGCACACGCACTGATGTGTACTTTTATATCAAAATATTAAAGCACATTTTAAGCGGCACAAAATTTTTTTAATATATTCTTTTTAATATATACATATATATACACACATACATACATATATATATAGTTAAAAAATTGCATAAATTGCATAATTTGCTGTCTTTTGTTACGAGCTCTTATAATTCTAAAAAAAAAGAATTTAAGTATATTTATTAGTAAATATATTTATAATTTTATGTTTTTGTTAGGTTTCAAAATATTTACTTAAGAAGATCTATATAAAACGAAATTTTAATTTTATTTAGAGTTTCTTTCTATTTGCGAAATATTTGTAAGTGTTTGTATTGTGATACATTGTACGATTGATTACATTTCTAATCGAGTTTCTTATGTAAATTTGTATTAGACAGAATAATTCTAAATATTGTGTATGCACGCGCGTGACTCGTAAAACACATTTACACATTATATAACACGTATTACCGTATTTGATACTAATATTGTTTTGAAAGCTTTTCTTGATATGCATATATACTATATCTTGCCAAAACTCAGTGTCAATATACGCTGCTTTCTATGATATTTACGCGAAAAAAAAAAGAGCGAAACAGTTCGCACAATTCTTTGCTTTTGGTACATTTATGGAAGCTTTCTTATACGGACATTTTTACTGAATCAACATTCCTAAAATATTTATTATGTGCCATAAACGAGACTTGCTCATCTATAAAAAGGTTAAAACGTTTCTCTAAAAATTTCTAAATCGATCCTTTTGTTACCGTTTGTGGAAATATAATGCACTTTCTTATCAACAACTTAAAGCTTATATAAGACAAAGGATCACTGTTCGAAACGATCGCAAATAGTTACAACATAAGATTTTGACAAAATTATTCATTGTTTTATAGGCACGCAAATACTATACAAGATGCACTGTTTATGTGCAACGCGCATGGATATCAAAAAAAAAAAAGATAAATGAAATTTGCTGTTCATGGAAAACTTATTCTTTGAACATATATATTATGTATTAACTCTAGCTAATGAACATTGCTTATAACGTGTTAAAATATTGTTTTTCCATCTTATATCATTTGATATGACTCTCAAGAAAATCTCAAAAGACTAATTGAACATGATACTAATATAGGAACAAGACAAAATGTTGTCTCTAATTATAAAATATCTAAAAAGTTAACTCTAATTTGCTCTTGTAAAATGTATCTAAGATACTTTTGTTATCTGTGTCCTTTGCATATGTATTTATTATACAATGAGAATTTACTATGAATGCGTGATTAGAATGTACTTACACGAATTGTCGAAGTTCTCGGTACTGAATCATCTTTTGAAATTTATGGTCTCAATTTTTTACGCACTGTGTTCATCTTGCATTTACCCGTCGACAATTTGAAATATTGAATATTTTAATGTTGTACATCTACGAGGAATTGTGTTTTCGCAATGCGTATGTTGAATTATAGATGAATGTTTGCTTTCAAAAGTCTTTTTTATTGTTCAGTATTGTTGATCAATTATACAACGCACGTATATGTTTGTTTAGGAAAGAAAGTCAGCGTTACGATTAACTTTGAAGATACGCTTTAGCATTTGTGTTTGTTGTTCTCGCTTAGTATTATACAAAGTTTGTTAAAGTTATAGTTATAGTTGTAGTTAAGATTAAATTTAACGATATGAGATTATGCGCAACAAGGACATTTTGCAGAATAGGAAATTGAGAGATGTGAGAAATGCAACTACGATAGGTCTTTATTTACACTTTGTAAAAAAATAGAAATATAGCGATATTGATTTTGTTGAAACTAATAATATTTACAATTTTCTAGTTTTTATAATAACTTCGGTGTTTGACCGAAGATTGTTCTTTTTAAATCTTGCCTGTAAATTCGCTTGAACGTTAAAATAAATCACATTTAACTCGATGATATCTACAGTGAAAAGAGATTGTATTCTTCAAGCTTCAACAATCAAAATTAGTGCGGAATAATAAATGTCAGTGTCCTAGAACAATTCTTAATTTAATAGAAAGAGAGAGAGAGAGAGAGAGAGAGAGAGAGAGAGAGAGAGAGAGAGAGAGAGAGAGAAAGAGAGAAAGAAATTATTGTAATATAAAGTAGCTCTGAAAATTTTTACACTGCACTGTATGGATTACCCGCGATGAAGGAAGACACTTTCGACTTAACTATTGCAAACTGTCGAAATGTTGCGTTCAATTTTGTTCGTCGTGTAGTGACTTGATAGAACGTACTTATATTTCTTATCCGCACCTTTGTAAAAACACTCGATAGTGGTAGAAGCAAATATGAATTCTGAATAAATGAAACCTGTATGCTGCGCATTTATTTGTAACGACAAACGATAAGAAATACATTAGCTAAACGAGATGTGTAACTATTCCTTTTATACTAGAGAGAGAGATGTCAATAAAACCATGTTGCTTCGTAGATGAATTTCAATTTATCACAAGACTATTAACCCGCTCGTGAGGAAGCGAAGTTTTTAACTTTGAATAGAATGAAACGTTAATACAGAGCACATCGATTGACAATACACGTCAATTGAAACAATCTACTAAGAAGAATTTATGCGTGAAAGGATCAGCATAATTATCGAAATTTCAAACGATAAAATTACCGCGTTTGAAATTAACGCGGCCGACGTTGATTCGATGGATCGATTGGGGTGTCGCTGTTGAAAGCGGGGAAATTTAAATATTAGGAAGGCGTAACGTTGCACGCGATACGGCGCGAAATTGCAGATTTTCCAAGATAAAACGAAACGGGAGAATGGTTGCCTCAGTATGGTATTTATGCGGACTAGGTTACGTAGCCGACAAGAAACAGGAACGGGATTCCTTCGAGCCGAGAATAGCATAAGGGAGGTGGAGATCGCGTTTCGTTGGTAGTCAGTGCGGCGAGCAGCAATCAGCCAGTAAAGAGCCGAGATAAAATCGGGACGACGGCCAACAAGGCGACAAGCAATTATAGAATTGGATTGGATCGAGAAGTTCGAGGAGGCCTGCGACACCGGTTTCGTTTTATTTTAGCTTTGCTTTCGAAGGCATCCGGTTGTGCATTCTCATCGCGGATCATCGCCACGATTACAGTGAGTGTTGTCCCCCTTTTTAACCGCAACCTCTCTTTTCTCACCGCGCTGCTTGTTATTAAATGTTGCCTACTGTGAGTGACGAGTAGCAATAACCGCTTCGGTATCGCGTGAGAGTTGGATAGCGCTCAGATCTGATTTTCGTAACGAACGATACTCGCTGAATTAAGCACGGTAGCACTGGTGCTAACGCGTTTGCGAAATTGCTCGAACAGATTTTACATTCTACGTGTACGCGTGACAGCGAATTCTGGAGGTGCGGAAGTATACATTTCGGTGCGTTAAACGAAGTAAACAAACGAGAGCAGGAATTTTAACATTTGATTTGATTTACGCTTGCTGCTTCGTGCAGGCTTCGCGACTTGTTCGTGACACCGAAATGTTTTTTTTAGACTAAGATCTGAAAATTGAGAATTACTCGTTAAATTTTGTGACTGTAACCTTCATTACTATTATAGAATGGAGTTCGTCAATAACGTATCTTCCGCGTCGTAAGAGGTTCTACTTCACTTCGTTTCGTATATTGCATCGAATTCAATCGAGTTTACTCCACTGTCCTTTTTTTTTCTATTTAAAAAGAAACTGTTTCATTCACACTTTTTTCCATGGCGCCGATTTTTATGGTAGCGTTAGCCAAAGTTACAGATGCGGCATAGTAGATACGATGCGACTATAGTCGGACTAACGCGGAGTAACGCTTTAATTTCGATCCGATCAAAACGAACGAAGTATTATTGGTAATATCGAAAACTGAAATTAAAGATTAAAATGGAAGAACAGGAAATTTGCTAGAACAATAATTCACAAGCTCGTAAAGTTTTCCATGCCAGTTTGATGAATGATAGTCAAATTAGACCAACACACAAATAAATTATATAATATATGATGAATTACATGCAAATAATAATTGTTGTAACCGCAGACAGAGGATAACAGAGGATAAAAGGGGAGAGAAACACAGATTGTTCTCACCATGGAGGCGATTAAGAAGAAAATTGCGGCGCTGAAGCAGGAGATGGACGCCGCCAATGAGAAAGTCGAGGCGAACGATGCGAAGGCAAGATCGGAGAACTTTCGAGCGGATAAGTTGAATGACGATCTAAGGGATCTGGAGAAGAAGCTGGTTCAGCTCGAGCGTGACTACGAGATCGCCAAGGCGAATTTGGAGCAATCCACCGCTGACTTGGAACAATGTGAAAAATCCTGGTCCAAGGTGCGTAAAGACACACTTATTGCTAGATCAATTTACGAAGTTGACACTGTGCAACTGGATGGACGATGACAATGTGCAATTGATCAACAGGCGGAGCAAGATCGAACCACGTTGACGAAGAAGGTGCAGGAAATTGAGGCAACGTTGACGAAAAAGGAGGAACTGCGACTTACGGCTCAGTTGAAACTCGGCCGTGCCACGGAGCTTGCCGATGACGCTCAGAGGTATCGACGATATCTTGCTTTCCAGTTTCACACGATAGATGTAATATTTTGTCCTACAATTGAAGACACTTGTGTGATAACATTAGACGACTTTATTAGAATTTTCTTTAGAATGCTATTACAAGTAAAATCTTATAAATATCACGGATAAGCTTGATGAATAATAACTTTACAGATTATAAAAGTCACGCCGTTTGCACTGGTAATAAATGAATTTCCTTTTTTTTTTCTTCTTTTGTGATAGAATGTGCAAAGTACTGGAAGACAGAAGTCGATTGGACGAAGAACGTACGGGAAAATTGATGCAAGAATTGAAAGACGCGAGATTAATCGCCGAGGACGCGGACGCCAAGTCCGACGAAATATCGAAGAAACTGCAGTTCGTTGAGGAAGAGCTGGAAGGCGCTGAGGAGAGAGTGAAGACCAGCGAGGCGTTTGTATAATTACGTTACTCTTACGTTTCCCTTGCGAGTTTCGCCATTCCTTTCTTACACGCTCGTGACGTATTTGCAGGAAAATCATCGAGCGAGAGGACGAGCTTTTCATCGTGCAGAACATCGTGAAATCTTTAGAAGTATCCGAGGAGAAGGTTAGCCACTTTCTTTGCGAAATTAACAACGAATTTTTTTACGTTGTGCAGTGTTGTATTTTCTATTAAAAACTCACTCTCGCGTGTGATTTATCTAGGCTAATCAACGGGTGGAAGAATTCAAAATACAACTAAAAGAGCTGAAGAAAAAGCTGAGAGAAGCCGAGAAGCGCGCGATTCAGGCCGAAAGAACGGTGAAGAAGTTGCTGAAGGAGGTCGACATGAAGGAAGGTAGGATGTTTAGTGGACGAGGACTTGGTTTCTCTTCTTTTTCTTTTTCCGAGGACGATGATTTTCTCAATGATCGCGGTGTTTCAGACGAGCTGAGAGAAGAGAAGGAGAAATACAAGGCGGTTTGCGACGACATGGACGCCACGTTCGCAGAAATGACAGGATACTAAAGCCTCAGAGACGGATGGAGTTTCTTTTATTTTGCTACTCTGAGCTTCTTCCGCTTAACCGCTATATTTAATAATGGACATCGGTCGGCTGTGTTCAGCTACGCTGACCTTATATAGCGCTAATTTTATATAGTGTGCCGTGTTAAAGGGAACGAATCGATTTCGAAGCTTCGAACGTTAACTAAGCTAACTTGCGAAATTGCGCAATTAACGTGGAAATTAAAGAGCACACACTGCTAGTTTCTTTCGCTTAATGTAATATCATTGCTTCAAGCTTGACGCTTTGCCAACGCTTCGCGGAGATGGTTGAACTGATGGTGTTGTAATTGCTTTAGAAAGAATCGGTTTTCTTCTTTTTTTTTTTTTTTGATAGTAACCGCATCACCTATTTTTCTTTCAGAGACGTTGAAGAGGATTCGGTGAATATGAAAGCAAGCACGATACTGCAATCCCCTTTTTATCATTGTATGCCAAATCTGTATTTTCAATAAATGATACTTGAAAAAAAAAAGAAACAGAACACCAACGATGAATTCAATACCTTGTTAAATCAGATGAAAATTATGCGAAAATGAAGAAGAGGAAATTTTCCTTTTACGATTTGTAACTGAGAAAAATAAAAATAGATTACGCTGATAATTTTTAAATTAGATATTTTTGTAAGTTAAAAAATGTTTTGAATAGAAAAACGTTTCACTTTCCTATCTTTATATTCTTCTTTCCCTTCTGTATCTTTTAATAGTTCCATTTTAGATATTTTCTCTTACGTAGAAATGTTCATTCGTTTCAGAAACGTTACTTGTTGAAAATTTGTTAATGCTCGAATTCGCAGCTTTACGTCAATATCAAGCTGTTGCAAGTGCACAAGCGTCTAGAGAAGTCGAGGAATCCGTTTGCGTCTAACTAAAGAAACAGACTATTAGGTTCTTTTGCATTTCTTTGAGTCTATAAAGCATTGTCCTCGTCGGTCACCGAGTGCAGTAACCCACGAGCTTTCCTTTAAGAGACCATACAGTTATTTCATCTCTACGAATTCTCCTTCTAACACATTAATACGTAAGATCATTATTAATATCTTGCTTCGACGTTTCAATATTGAAGTGTGAAAGTGTTTTAAATCGAGTAACGATACCCTTAGAATCGGTGTAATATCGGTGTTAACGAAAGAGTGAATTTTTGACACAAGAAAATTCTTCAACTTTCGATGTTTTAATCCTTCTTTAGAATATTCACGTCACGCGTCGAATATTTCCGATTTTCTTAAAAAAGGAAACTCGAGTTCTTCTCTATTTATAAGATATCAAAGAAGAAAGTTCACGGTAAAAAGTGGGAGCACCTTTCAAAGTTTTTCAATTAAATTCAAACGACTCGTTGCAGAATATTGGCGTTCGTGTCAACGATTTTATCAAAATGAAAGTAGAGTCTCGTCGATGGAAGATTTATTGGTCGAATTTTCTACGTAGGTTCACCGTCGGAAGCTCGGTCGTCGCGATGAACGCGATTAAGAAACGTTTGCAAACGCTGAAGATCGAGAAGGACCTGGCGATGGACAGGGCCGATCTGTGCGACCAGCAGGCGAAGGAGGCGAATCAGCGAGAGGAGAAGCTGAAGGACGAGGTCCGGGAACTGGCGAAGAAACTGGCGCAAATGGAACGCGACTTGGAACTGAGCAAAGCTCAGTTGGAAAAGTCGAACCGTGATCTCGAACAGAAGGAGAGGGTCTACATCGTGGTTGGTGATTTACAGATGTACAACGTTCTCTTTTCTCGTAATACAAGCTGTCGGAAGTTATTACATATTGTTTTGAAAAAAATTTTTATTTACGAAAGTCAAAAAGTCTCGACTCGTAGTCAGAATTAATTTTTAGCAACGGCCAACTTTCGTAGCGAGGCACGAGACTAAGTAAACATTTCAAATCGTTGAAATAATTCCCCGGTAATTCTCGCGATATGGAAGAATAATTGAAAAAAGGATTTTTCGCGAATGGCAACAGACGCAGTCGGAGCTGGCGGTTCTGAACAGAAAGATGCAGCAATGCCTGCAGAACTTGGAGAAATCGGAGGAGCGTCGTTTGACGGCGCAAACCAAGCTGGCACAGGCGACGGAGACGGCGGAGGATGCGAAACGGTTTGTCCGGTGTGAAACAAGGCGAGAAGAATTCGATTGACGTCCGAGATTTTGTTCGTAGTAAATCGTTGCTTTCAGTATCTGCAAAGTTTTGGAGAACAGAAGCAAACAGGACGAGGAGAGGATGGATCAGTTGATGGCGCAGCTGAAAGAGGCGAGGCTGATCGCCGAGGACGCCGATACGAAATCGGACGAGATCTCGAGGAAATTGGCTTTCGTCGAGGACGAATTAGAAGCGGCTGAAGAAAGAGTAAAGTCGAGCGAGGCGTGCGTAGAACGAATCACAGTTTCTTGCAAATTTTAGTCTCGTACGTTACCGCCGATTGTCGTATAATGATAATTATATATATATATAATGTCGCAGAAAGATAATGGAACGGGAGGACGAATTGTTCATTGTTGGCAACATACTGAAGTCTTTAGAAGTGTCCGAGGAGAAGGTAATCTTTGAAGTATTTTTAAGTTGCAATTAAATGACAAATTGTTTGATAAATAAATTATGAAAGTCGAAAATTCTGAATCGTTTGAATCGTCTGAAATGGATCATGATTCGAAGCGATAGATTTGGGAATTTTTCTAGGCTAACCAAAGGGTGGAGGAATTTAAAGCACAACTGAAAGATCTGAAGGTAAAGTTGAAGGCTGCTGAGAAAAGAGCCGTCATCGCCGAGAAGATGGTCAAAGTGTTCTCGAAAGAGTTGGACGCGAGAGAAGGTACCATTTTTACCATTCCTTTTTTTATACGCTGTCTAGCGGCCATCTCCATTTCTCATATTTACGGCCGTGTTTTTGTTTCTATTCCAGACTTTCTATTCAGAGAAAAGGAGAAGTACAAATACATCTGCGACGACATGGACTCTACGTTCGCCGAACTCACTGGATATTAGTCGAACTCTTGTAACATCGAACATCGGCCATTTTCCATGTCAGTGTATCCGTATTGTTTCTTTTCTATTAAAAAACCACGCTCCAACTTACTTATTCTTGCTTCGTTTAATTCAACTAATCAGAATCTAAAGGATTCCAGAGGATTAATTACAAGATGAAAACATGAAACAATCCTTGCCAATTGATTAACCGAGTCGTTAATGAAACTCAGCTTTAATTAGATCAATTTTATCTTTCACCTTTCTTCGCGTGATACCTTTATAATTTACTACTTAAAAAAAGAAAAAAAAGGAGAGAAAGAGCTTGACGATTAAATTAATTCGCTTCGTCTCCGTATTAACGTTCCTTTGTCTAAATGAAACATTGCGAGACGAATGTTCCATTTTCAAGGGATGACAACAAAGAACTAACAAAGACGATGTTTTTTCTTCGTACAGTACTTTACAGGATATCAATTTATTTCTTTTTAATCGATTCTACGATCGACACAATGCTTCGAAATGCCATACCACCGACTCGAGTACAATTTCAGCAGTGGTACCAGCGGCCAGCGTCGCTTCGTTTGCTAACGCGATCGTTTGACACACACACAAACACACACAAACACACACACACACACAGAGTCACGCAGGAAGAAAATCGCGGCTTTCTCGACCGAGTCCTCGATGTCGCTCCGCACGTGGCCGTGCCACTCAAGAATAGAACTTCGATATCGCAGACACACCCTCACATTCGCGCCTCTTCTCTCTCTCTCTCTCTCTCTCTCTACCTCTTCTCCTTCAGTTCTTTATTATTATTGTTATTTTTCTTTTTATTTGTTAATTTACAACGATGCTAGTAGTATAGTTACAGTAATAATTGTTCGTTTGATTTGCTCACTCCCCACGCCTTCGTTTATTCGCGAACGCGGTCAAACCGGTGACGTAATACTGAAATACTGAATTAGAAACGGGGGGATAAAAAAAAAAAAAAAAAAAAAAGAAAAGAATGGAATCGCGACCAGGGGGGAAGTTTCGTAAATTTCTCTAGAGATACACGAAAGATCTAGACAACTACTATAGCGATTACGAAGTCCATCGTCGATCGGTTTCTTTCTTTCTTTCTTTCTTTCTTTCTTTCCTTTTCTCTTTAGATTTCTCGCAAAGCTTACCGTTAATCGTCGACACGTTTCGCTAAAAAGTCTCTTCCGCTACGTTCATCTTTAGTTTTACACTTTATTTGTTGAGAGTACAGCACTTACGACTATAATTGTACACGACTAGCTTGGATTTCTCAGAAGGACGTAAAATCTTACATTTGTGTGTATTTTAGCATCGATCCGATGGACCATCGCTATTTCCGCTTTCTGGATTTCTCTATTTATCTTTGGTAACGCGTGTCCGCGTGCAACCCCGATGCGTTCATCGCGTTTCGTGGTGTTCCAAGTTAACGTCACCGCTTCAACTAAAAAAAAAGAAAAAAAATAAAACGTACGGTCGGAAGCCATCGTTCGTGCGGCCTCGTACGATCAACGCGGAGGAAACGACTCGCGCGAATTCGAGGAATTTCTGGCTCTCTCTCCTCTATCTCGAGCGATAATAAAATCGACCGACTAATAAAGTCGAACGTACGCGCACGATTTTATCAACAAGTCTCTTGAACAGCTCGACAGCTCTGAAAATAGGCCAGAGTTCTTAAGTTCACTCCCTTAGATCGATACACACGAAATAATTCAGTTACCCGAATAAAAGTGAGAGATAAGCGTTTAGATAAGCTCTTGAGACCATTTTTAAAGATGTCTCCTGCCCGGAGCCAGAAACTTCCAGGAGAGCGAGAGACAAATGGATTGTGAAAAGAAACTGGACAAATCATCGACAAATTGTACACAGGGGTCCTCGTTGAGCGGACCGTCAGTCGGTCGGTGAAAAAAAAAAAAAAAAAAAAATCGTACAAAAGATCGTTATTTATCGTCGCGATAAATGATTACCGCCTCCCGGAAGAAACGATTATCTAACAAATTAATCGAACTCTACGAGTTTGATTGACGTGCTTCTCAATATATACATTCGTATGTACGTTGAATCATGTAATGCATCGCGCTTGAACGCGCTTTTTTTTTTTAAGTACATATATATATATGTATATTTATATAAATTTTTATATATATACGTATACCTATGTGCCCTCGTCTTCGCAGTGTCGCGCACACTCATGGAACTCAGGTGTTTGCAATTTCGGTTGTACATTGTATTAGATAAACGATCGTAGACTTCACTGTATATAAAGTTCTCGTCGAAAAGAACGCCTGTTTTATTTTCTACTTTTTTTTCTTTTTCGCGGTTTTTCCTTCGAACTCTAAAGACCTCGAAAATTCGGCTACCTGGGTAGTGATAAAAAATCGCCGTCGTAAAATTATCGTTGCCCGGAAGTAGGAAATTGGCCAGCAATTTGGCAGTGCGCGTCGAGCATTAGTCTGCGGAATGGCAGTGTCATGGTAGTGTTTGGAACTCGTTGAACACGGTACGTGTAAAAAAACGCGCGCGCTACACCGCTAAACCACGTTATTTTTACTTTCAAATCAGTCTGATGGGGGAACGTACGAATCTGTCGCGGCTCGCGCAGCCTCGCCACGTTCTTTCTTTTTTTCTTTCTTCTTTTGATTTCTTCTTGTGCTTCTGCTTTTCTTCTTTTTTTTTTTTTCTTCTATTTCGAACATTACCGAGAAGACCTCGAAATTACTTTATTTCGACGATGGTGAAAGTTCAATCGCGGAAAAAAACAGGTTCTTAAGATCGCTCGGTGAAACACACACGGGAAAGAACGTCAACGTTCAGCACACGCGTTTAACCCGTTAACGACCGTAATGTTACAAAGATTACTTTGAACTTGATAAAAGAGAATTCATTGGAAACTATGCCATCTACCATCTACAATACTTTTTATAATCATTGTGTCACGTTCGCGACAATAAATCCAGAAAATGCGATATTTTAACAAGCCAAGAGTATAAATAATTCCACGATGAGCAACAAAGTATTGAATTTTCAAATAGAACACTCGTTCAAAAGACTCTATAATATATATTATAAATTGGCTAAGGATATCGAGCAACTTTAAAATCTTTCGTCTGCAAAGGACAAAGGATATAAATCATCGCGTTTCTTGATCTCTCGATGGCTTCAATCGGCCATTAACGGGTTAACCAGATCGCTTAATTAGAAAATAATGACCGTGATCGTACGGCTCGCGAATTCTTACGGTCGTAGTGCGCGACATTCGAAGAGAGATGTCAATGCGTTGATCTGTATCGACGAACGAACCGTTCGATCGGCGTCGAGACAAGACGTCTGCTCGACGTTTCGACTTCGAACAAATTTACAGAGCGGGAGAGGAGCGCGCGGTCCGCCCGCACGCGGAAATAATGCCTTACTATAGAATTTAATAACGGGCTTAAAGTAATCAACGGTGTTTAGACGTACGTATAAACTTTACAATGCAACAGAGCCCAACCTTGTCGACGCGTCCGTCCCTCCGGACGGACGAACGCCTTCTCATTGTCGCCATTTTCTGTTTTCTCTTTCTTTCTTTTCTCAAAACTCTCTATCTCGGCTTTTCTTCTCGGCTCTTCAACTTTTAATAACTCTCGTCCCCGATTCTAATACCACGCGCACGTAACTGGACACAGGCGAGCACGGATCGAGAACGCGGGAGAACGACGCTTCCGGCGATTCGTTTCTGGCCAGTTGAAATTAGATCGGGCAAACGTGAACAATCGCGATCGAACGGAGAGTAAGAAAATCAGTCTTACGAATTGAAAGAATCTTCGTTCTTTCGGCGACGAACCGTTACACGAGCTTCGAACCATTTCAGTTGAGACTTCGTTGTTGCTTGAGGAGCGCGTTTACTCGGTGAAAGTTTGTGCAATGATCCGCTACGATCGAGAGGAATAGTTAACGCGATTGGTAAAAAAAAGTAACAAGGTAAAATAAGATAGGACAACCGTCTGACTTAAGATTAACTATCGTTTGCAGATATTAATATTTAGAAGTATTGGTCAATCGATACTGTCTATTTCGCGATAGTCTTGGTCAAAAATGATATTTCAGAAGACGCAGAAATACAGGGTGACCGTAAAGTCCCTTTACAATTTCGAAAATTTGTCACAAAGGCAAATGAAAAGACAGATAAGTGGAAGTTATTATAAAATGAAACGTATATATTTAAATTTTTCTTCGCTTCATTTAATATACCTCTACGTGGGCACCATTAGTTGCACGAAGAATTAAATCTTATTAAATGAGGCAAAAAAAAAAAAAAAACTTAAACATGTACGTCTCATTTTGTAATAATTTCCACTTGTCTGTCTCTTCATTTGCCTTTGTGACAAAATTTTCGAAATTGTAAAGGGGCTTTATGAACAGTCTGTACATATAACGTAACACGGTATCATGTGCTCGTGAGTTGTGAAATAAAATGTTACTCAATCGGCATTCAGTGTGCGTGCAATGATCGAATCGGCGGTGCCGGGGAACCCGATAGATGAACGAATGCGGAACGTTGTTGCGAAAAATAACAACGAACACGGTTCTAGAATCAAAGAACGAATTAGCGCAGGCCAGTGTGTGACCAAAATAAATACTCTCGAGGAGAGACGCACGTTGATTAGATCGTGGCAATTACTGGTTACACAATGATCGATTTAGAGTCTGGTTTGTGTGCCATCGCTTCGTTATCGTTGTCGTTATTAACGCGAGTAATTATCGTTTCGAGATTCGTGTGCAACGTACATCAATGTCTGTCAATCGCGCGAACGTTCAAAGCCGACTGTCCATCGTTCGAAACGTTCTCTTTCACTCGAGAGACGCGAGACATACCCTTACGAATACAGGACGACGTCGTTCTCCGCGATTCGCTGGTGCTCCAAGGACTTTCCCGTGCTCTGCTCGGTACGATTAAGTCTTTGGTCTCGAATGGGTCGCCCGCCGGCAAACGAGTCGCAGCGGTCTGAGCAAATTGTCGTTTGGCACGCACTCCTACAAGCGATCAACTCATTCAACCTCGGTTGGTGTCATTCACACACGTTACGCACACGCACGCACGGATATAATATCTCGTTGCGCCATAGATAAAGAAGAGAAAGGCGAAACGATGTGGCAGCGTTTGTTTTCCGACGTTTCGTTCGACGGGAGAACTTTTGATTAACAATTTAACGATCGAATTATCCTTGCTAAGAAATACACGTGTCCCAAGTGCATGTCAAATACTTCTCTTCGTTATCTACGAGCGATTCATCTGCCGATATATACTTCCGTATAGCAACGAATATAATTTAATTTTCATCTATAATCGACAGAGAGAAAAAGGGAAACGGACGCGCGTACCCGCGCGTCGGCAAGTCCTATCTTTCGATTTCTTTTCCTTTTTTTTTTTCTTCTTCTTTTTTTTCTCGTTTTCTGCTTCTCACTTTTTAAACTTTAAATCTAACCACGTCGAAACACCCGACGAGACACCAGATAGAAGGATCTTTTTTTTTTTTCTTTTTCTTTTTCTTTTTCTTTTTCGTTTCATTTATCTAACTCTTTGGACCATGGGATCAAGAGAGTGGGAAGAACAGAGAGATATCATTGGCCTACCATTGGCAAGTAACGGGAAGTAGGGGGGGGGCGAGAGGGGGGGGAGGCACACGGAGGAAGAGAGCGGATAGTGAATTAAACGGCGATAGAGTAGTCGGAGGAGGGGTTGTTTTGAGTGCTCGGCCTTGACCACAGGGAGCTCCTCAGGCCGAGTTTCAGCTTTTTCAAAGAGTCGATGTCGCACTCGGCTTCGCTGAGCTCCGGCCTGTCGGAACGATCGCCATTCCCTGGCACTACGTTTCCCTGATTGCCTCCGACGAACGTGGTCTCCGCGACCGATATCGGCGGCAGTAGCGTGCGTAGAGAGCTCCTGCTGGGAACATGCCATCTTACGGGACAGCCAAAGAAATGAACTTACTACGGGTGAAAATATGATATACGTGAGTTTGTTTTTTTGTTTCTTTGTTTTTTTGTCAGCCCAGTTTGGCCGTACAGAGTGTTTTATGAATGCCGAGTGTTGGAAACGTGTTCTCAAGAGTTTGAATCATTATTTTATATATATTGTACACTGGTTGCAAGATAAGTTTCATTAATGCCTGAATTTTATGGTACAAAATAATGATCGCAAACTTTTGTTAAACATTGGTAAACGTCGGTGAACGTGTATTGCAATAAATCTGAAAATATTGTTCATAAAATATGAAATTAGTTGTTGCAGAAACGTTCTGTGCGATGTGTTCTGAATAATGGATGAGATGAATGACAATTTGACCAACGAACCTATCTATTTAAATGTCGAAGATACTCGTAGAGTTTGATAAAAGACGGATTACCTAGATCGTCCTCTTCGAGGGAGTGACTTCTGCTCTGACATGGGTGAAATGTCCGAAGAAGTGCTCGACGTACCGTGGTAAATGAAATCGGAAACGGCCCGAACTACAGAAACGGAATTTCTCGTTTATGAATTTCTCAACGACAAGGCAGCGAATTGAGTAATTATGCTTACTGTGTTTGAGTTTGCCAGCGTCGAGCTGGTTGGAAGACTCTGTGCGAGAGCTCGTCAACTGATCCGGGTCAGACTCGCTCTCGTCGCTCTCGACATCGCCCGGAGTTTGTTGCTTTCTCTGCTGCCGTCTCCTCGACGAAACGCTCTTCATACTCTGTGAATACGATACGGTAGAACGTAGGTATTGAATTAATAAAATATCAACCCTTTGTGCTCCACTGTCCAGATCTTTTCGTCTAATTATGACCCTATTTATTCAGATTTATTCATGTTATTTTCGAAACTAACCCGAGTCTAGTAAAACTAGTGGACCACAAGGGGTTGATCTAATGAAAATATATCAAACGTTAGGTAAATTTTCTTGAACGTACCGTCGCGGCAGGTGGAGGGCTTGCGCATCCTTCGGTCATGGCGTGCTCGTGATACATGAAACTGTGTAGAAGAGTGTTGTTCGGGTGGAGGCCGGCTGCTGAAGCTTCCGCCGCGCCTCCCAGTCCTCCCAACCCTCCCAGCCCTGCCAGGCTTCCCCCGCCACCCTCCGAAAGCTGGAACGTAGCGTACGGCGAGATGTCCTCCGCTGTCTCTGTAACCCACCAGAGGCATTGCCTACCTTTCAAATCGCGTCGGAATGAATTTTTTATGTGGCAATCGACTTTTTCTTTTTTCTCTCCATGCTACCTCGTCGAACGACTTTACTTTACTTCACATCTCTCTCTCTCTTCTAACTTCCAACTGTGAACTATGAATCTTGATAAGAACTTGCCTCTTGAGGAGAATATCACTTTAGGTTGCTTAAAAGAATTTTCACAAATGCTCTCTCTCGCTTGTCGAGTGGATAATATTTACGAATAGAATTTTAGTAGTATTTTCTTCAAGAGTAAGATTGATCGGCGTGTACATTGTACTAAAAATCGTCTAACTTCGTCAGATTAATCATTCAAAAATTTACGTGACATCCTAAGGAATAATACTTCTAAAGAATTGCGAAGGATGTTCGATGAAGGCGGAAGCGATGCGTGATGAAACGTCGTGATGAAATGTGTGTGATGGAGCTGATACACGAGTGATACATTCAATGTCGGTCGCATAAAAGGCAGAAAGAAACAAGACGATGATCTACGATGATGGAAGGAAGATGTATAAAATAATCCACCTTTGCTTTCGTGAATATCTGCAATCGAACGCTAACGGGTCTGTCCACTTTCGGTTGGACAGCGCTACGCGTGCGACTTTCTTTTACCTGAACAACAATTATAGTACCAAACCTGGCTGTCGTCCGTATCGTAACAAAGGTTCACCTGGAATCTTGTCGGGCCCTCCACCCGTATTCGCCGCTTGTTGCAAAGCCACCTTGTGAATCGTCGCGTAGTAACGTTCTCTTTGCGTTTCGGCGTTTTGTTGATTCTCCTGGGTCTCTTTCATCGGACGTTGCATTCTGTCTCCGAGATATCCTGATATATAAATAGAAACAAAAATGTTCCCTTACGGTACATTAATTTTTCTAAATCTAACAATTTAAAAATCATTGAATCATCTTTGGACAATCGGCGGATATTCAGAATAAACGACTTACTGCTTCGCCAGCGAAGAGCTACGATCACCACAGCGACAACTAAGGCAACGGTGGCCACGATCAGAGGCAGCATTACTTTCACGTCAGCGTAGAATGGCACGGCCGAGGTAATACCACGTTTCGACAGTTCTGGAGGAGGCGGTTCTGCAAGGTTTCAGGAACACAGTGCTTTTGGATATGACTATTTCAACTTGAATACTGTCACCAGACCGACCGAATCGTCTTTATTTATCGTCATTTCGAATCTTTAATGGTTGCGAAATTTTCGTCTATCCTTTGTCCACTATAAATTAACTGCTCTTGACGAACCGTACCGTGTTCTTACTTCAATTTTCTACTCTTTAAACTCAGAAGTGACAAGTTCGATGTGTGGAGTTTCGTTTTTAATTGATGTTGGACAAAGAATGGCCATATCATCGTGCTTACCGCCTTCCTTTGTCAACGTCACGAAGGTGAACTCCGCGTGATTGCTACCGGCTACGTTGTGGGCCTCAACTTTCAGCTGGTAAACCGAGCTCGGTTGTAAATTCGTCACGACAAACCGTCGTTGCATTTTCACGCTGTTCGAGACTAGTGTCCAGTGAAATTCGTTAATGGGTCTGTACTGAATTACGAAGTAGAGGATCGGGCAACCGTTATCTGGCCACACGTGAAGTCGGAGGACTAACGTGGTCGAGTTTGGACTGAGGAAAGCTGCCGCTGGTGGTATTCCTGGCGCCTGTCCTTGAGTTCGCACTGAGAGCACCGGTGACGATGGGCTGCTTCCGATTTTGTTGTGAGACGTTAAATACAATTGATATGTATTACCGCACAGCAGACCCTAATCATAATCAATCATTTCATTTAACGTTAGTAATACGACGTTAACGTATTTTATATGTTTTTATATTGACATTTATTTTTAACATTTTTATTATCTATTGCATACCTTTAATTCGTGACTTGTGGCGTGACGAGATAGTTGTAACTCGTCTAGATTCCCGTGCGTTGTTCGATAATGTAACGTGTACCCTGTGAGTGGCGCGCCACCACTGTGTCCAGGCTTCCAGTGCAACAAAATGCTACTCGACGTAGAACTCGTCACGTAGAGAACAGGTGCATTAGGTGGAACTACGAACAGAAGAAGATTGCAAACTGATAGTCTCTTCACTACGGGAGAACCTCGCTTCAATTGTCAATAACTTACCCTGTACAGTCAAAGTATAATGCAGCTTGTCGCTGCCTTGAGCATTCTCCACCTGGCAAGTATAGTTCCCGCCATCTTGTGATTGTAAATTCGACAATACGAGCTCTCCAGATGGCAAAATTTGTACATTTCTCGTTGTGTCGGTACGAATTTGCTCGGCTTGTCCCTTGTACCATTCTCTGGTAGGATCTCCAACTGCGTTGCAAGCCAGGGTGACAGTTCCTCTCCACGGTTTCACTACGTGGCCCCCAAAAGACGTGATTTTCGCTGGTACCCGATTCGTTGGTACTTGTGCAGCTACTCTGGAACTTTGACCCTCGCCTACGCGGGTGCTACCGGTCACCCAAAATTGATATTCTACGTGTTGCTGTAAATCAGTCGCTTCGAAATAAGTACTCGCCGCTGACAGTGTTCTTTTACCGTGATTAAGTTCCTCTCGGCCATCCACGACCCTGCAAGATTTAAAATTGCATTATACGATTCACAGAGTGATTATACAGGATCAATCAGTAATTTTACTATACTAATAACAGTTAGTTTTACCTCGTGTACAGATTGTATTTCGTGATAATCCCGTTTGGCTCTAAGGGCGGGAGCCAAGAGATGAAAAGTGCCTGTGGCGAGCTGACCACCACTTTTATGTCTGCTGGACTACCTGGCACTGTGGACAAAATTAAAAATACTATTAAATTTCCATCTTCAGGATTATCAGTCAAATTGTTCTTACTGCATGGTTTTCAATTTTCAATACGAAATCCGAAAAATTTTACCATCTTCCTCCGTTTGGCAGTAAGTTACCGTCGTAGCTACTCCGTCGCCGACTCTTGTGAATGCTAACACTTGAATCGTGTAGTTCGTATATTTTCTCAGACCGGTGAGGACAGTGGTTAAAGCGCTAGTCTTTCGTACCTAAAACAAGGCAACGTTGAAGAAGCTCACTCAAGACCTTTCTCCGAATAAAAAGAAATACGTTGTGCTCACTTCCATTTCGTCGACGCTGCGCCACATATCCGCCAGGATAGGCTCGTAATGTAACTTATATCCCTGAATAATACCGTTGCTGTGCGTGTTGGGTGGCGGCTGCCAGGATACTTGAAGCGATTGCGAGGTTAACGCAGCGCATCTTACGTCCTCTGGTGGCATACTTGGCACTAGATAATAAACCGATCTTGCAATTAAACATACCTATCGAAATTTACAGTTGTTTGGTGTTTCTTTTTTCTTTTTTTTTTTTTTTCAGAATATACCTTACCATCTTCCATTGTCTGCGTGAGCAAAGGTTCAGAAAGTGGACCGGATCCAACTTGATTATACGCTTGAACCACCAAAGTGTACTTTGTGTAGGGTCGAAGGCCTGTTAACCGAAGTTCTGCGCCCCCTTCTTCACCGTCTCCGGACACCGAGCTAAAGTTATACGAGGGATTCGCCGAGCTGAAAGAAAATTGCAAGCGTAATGGAGTTCTGAACTTGAATAGTTCAACGTGCTCCGAAACATCTGTGTAATTAAATTATGGTATATATACACAGCGTTACGCGAGTTCTTCGTTATCGCACTTTTCTTTTCTTTGTTTAAAACCGGATGTTTATTATTATTCGTCCCTTTCTAGAGAGATAAAAAAATTATTAAATAAAATATCTGCTAGTTACATTGCACGAACGTTACGTTTAATCAAGTCACGAAACTACGAACCTCGCGAGAAAGTTGTTCGTAGAATAACCGGTTAATTTTCATTCCATGCAAATTATTTCTCGCAACTTCGAAACTTAACTCAAGCCATATACTCTTGAACTCGTTATGAAATTTAATAGCGCTGAATGTTTCTTTAGGGCGACGCATCTTTCGTCGACGAGTTTCGCTCGAAGCACGACTATACAGGAGAGAGATTACTCTGCTTCGACGTTCCTACCTTGTTTCCCTGTAGCCAACATTGAATCCCTGAATGTCACCGTGTCGGAGTTCAGGCAGTGGTGGCGACCAAGTGATTAAAATTTCAGAGGAGGACAGAGCCCTAGCTTCAAGATTAATCGGGGGTCCAGCCGGTCTTTGTGGCTCGGTTCTGACAATCAGTTCTGCCGAGGGCACTGATCTACCCGCTGGTCCTTCGGCTATTACGCGTATAGTGTATCTGGTTGCCGGTTTTAACTCGTCTATTAGAGCAGCGTACGGAAGGGGCGGTCCGGTGAATTCTTGTTGTTGCCACAGTCCAGCTATTTTTAATACGATGGACTCAATAAATATCAATGCGCGTGTTATTCGACTGCAATGTTTATGCAAACTCATTTCTCTACTGAAGAAATCTGTGGAATCCGAGTGAATACTTTAGTTGTTTTATCGTCACTGTATACCTTTGAATATTCTATTTTCAAATATCCTACAAATGCATAAACATCAGCAGTTTGCACGTTATTGAATTAATATGATAATTTCAAATCTCCCCACACAGTTGTATCATCCTTTTAAAAGTAAATAAAAGATAAAAAGCAATCACCATCGCCTTCTTTATATTGAAGGATATACTTGGTCACTTCGCTGGTGTCTTGTGACTTGTGTTGCCATTTAACGTTAATGCTCCGGCTGGCAACCATGGCAGTCTCTAAAGAACTTGGCGGCTGTGGTGGCTCTAAATTACGAGAGAAAGTCGTTCATTCCTCAAACGAATATTTTTCTTTTCAACTGGATTTATTTTATACTGATGAGATTATACCTTGCACGAGGAGTTGCACCAACTGTTGATCACGTCCATACAGATTGCTTGCTTGACAAAAATACGCGCCACTGTCGGACGCTTCCGCCGAAGAGATTTGCAATTGTGCTATCACACCGTCCGGTGTTACCTCTCGTTTCACTGTAACTCTTCACGCGTAATCGTGAAAGAAAATTAATCACAATCCTACACTTTGTAATACCTAATACCTAGCCAAGTTTTGCAAAACTTAAATACTTTCCGTTAGAAATGTCAATTTGCAACAAAGAATCCGCAATTAATCTGTTAAGAATTTTATTTGTAAAATGCACGTGTGCGATTTTTCAAAATAGCGTATACACAACGAGCGTTAGAAAAGAAAAGAAAAAAAAAAGTGGAAACAAACTGATGAAAATTTAATCGAAAAGTTAATAAAACGTTGAAACGACTTTTTCCATCGAGCGTTTGAAAAAAAAAAAAAAGAAAAAAGGAAAGAAGAGACAGTATACGAGTATCTAGCGATGTATCAAAGAGCCTCATTCGACAGTATTCAAGCTAATCCCAGTTTTACCGATAGTTCGTCGAGGGATTTAACTCAATTTTTCCGCCTTTCAGCCAGGTGACGGTGACCGGTGTGTCGCCGTGTACCTCGCAATGCAAAGTTGCCGTGTCGCCTTTCTTCACGGTGACAAGCCTCGACGGTGCCGCGAAATACGGCGAAGCTAAACGGAGAGATCGAAACGAGAAATTCTTCAGTAGATAGAACGAAACGTTTTACGCTGTCACGTTGATCATATTACTTATCGAGGAGTTCATCGTCTCGAAAAATTGATTCTACCCGATTTGTATGTATGATCGATGGATATGTACGCTGTTACTTACAGTTTACTTTCAGCTGGACTACTTTGCCGATACCGCTGCCAATGCCGTTGCTCGCTTGACAGAGGTAAAATCCCTCTCTGTCTTCTTTCACGTGTTGCAACAGCAGCGTACCATTACTGAGGATTTTCGTGTACGCTCTTTCCCGCAACTCCTCGTATTCACCGGATTTGCTCCCTATTTCGTTGAGATAACGAGATATATATATCGAACGGCGAGATAAACAGAGAATTAAAACTAAAAAAGAGAATGTGTTTCCCTACGTTTTCCAGAGAATGTGAAAGAACACGTAAGGAAATTAAATTCGACGAGTAAGGGATTAAATTCGCTTTGAACTCGCGCGATAGCTTCGCAATCTCGCGGCGACAGGAGGCATTTCTAGAGAGAATCAAAGCCACCAATGCCGCGTTTTTCCTTTCGAAGAGTTTGCTTCGAGCTGGTGATGCCTTTAATGAGAAATTTTTACTCAAAGAACAGGTACCTTCGACAATCTTTGAAACTAACGAGGAGAGATAGAAATAGAAATTGTTCTTTGCTTTCACCTTCCGGCAACCTACTTGCATTAAATTTTACAAAAAAGTTTTCCTTTGCTGTTTCTATTTCTTGCAGCAGATTTTCCATCCAGTTGGAAAATAATAATTTGTCATAACGCTTGGAATTTCCTCTTGTCGCCGCGACGTTCAAACGATAGAGTTCAATTATGCGAATTAATTCGAGAAGAAATCTTGAGAAAAATCTAACTTGAGAAAAATGAAATTTCAACGTTGATTTCTCGAAACAAACGGTTCCTTCTTACCCGTGGCCTTTTTCCAAACGATAGTAGGCGTAGGCACGCCCTGCGCTTGGCAGTGCAAAGCGACGTGCTTGTTTCTTTCGACGCTGACGTCCGTCGGCTCGACGATCCATCGCGGCGGTACTGAAAACCAGAGCGGACAGCTTTAGACAAGCCCGTCGCGTAGACTCTCGTCTACGTTATTTTGTTTTTTTTTTACTGGTCGTTAGCGATTTAGAGACAGGTACATCGTGAGTGAGTCGTGAAAAGCGCGGTCAAAAGGACGAGCTCGTCGACGGTGTGGCGCTACGTCGTCGTCGCATATACAGCCTCGTGATACGTATGTACAAAACGAGAAATACACACTGTACAAAAGTAAAAGTACGAGGGAGAACGTAGAGTGACGTAGGATCGCCTGTCGTCGACGAGGAACTCTTTTTCTAATCTTTCTTTATCCGAAACAATCGACTTATCATCGATGAGACATACCGACCGGCGGAGAAAAAACTCCAGAGCCTCGCGAACTAGAAATTTTGACAAATGTTTCCGTAACACCGTGGCGGAGAGAATGGTAAATTTACATAATGAGAAAAGTGACAGAGACATTAAGAGACAAAGTGAATGAAGGTTCGTGGGGGTGAGGTTCAGTATGGAAGTATGGGGTATATTATAACTGTCGATGCGAGACGTCCGCGACAAGGTTACAAGCCCTCGACCGATTCTCGTGGATCGCTTGCAAGAAATAAAAATCACTTGTTTATCTGCCTCTACTCAAGGATCGTCAATCGTAAAAGCGGTTCGATCGATGCACCATAAATGTACATAGGTAGCCCAAAGAGGAGACAGACGAAAAGAAGAGAGAGAGAGAGAGAGAGAGAGAGAGAGAAAGAGAGAAAAAAAGAGGAAAAAAAGAATGATCATAGACCAAAGAAGAAAAAGAAAGAAAAAAAAAAAAGATAAAGAGAATGGAGGTACACAGTGCAGTACGAAGCATCTATCTGAGATCACTGTATGTCTAGCTACGGCTCAAACGAAATCGCCACTAAAACGTGTGCATCGTCTAAATTGCGACAAACACCGGATATACAGTACGAGTGAGTCCTCGGAAGAAAAAAAAAAAAAAAAAAAAAAAAAAAAAAAGAGAGAAAAGGTTATGAACGTTAATCTGGCGGACACGGTGCCGTCGCGCATCGACCAGTGTTCGAGAGTTGATGAGGTTGATATCTGTCTTTCATGGGTGTTACTGTTTGGCGGGTTCTACTTCTTACGGTGGTGAAAAACGCTGCACAAGCGAGATACTGTGAGTGGGATTTCCAACGTTTTACAAGACGGCAAATACCGGCCACGCATTTAACGCGTGCGACAATATAATATATATATAGATATATATATATGTGTGAGTGTGTGTATGTGTACGTAGACCAAGTGTAATGTGAAAAAATCTGTGTGTGTTTGTGTGTGTGTGTGTGTGTGTATAACGTGTCATTAAATATATATATATATAAGATACTCGTTCAATCGTGGCGTGAAACAAGTAGAACTCTCGGAAGAAGAAAAGGCGGCAAAATTGGGCGGGATGTGTTGGGGTTATCTGGATGAGAGCATGTCGGCGGAAGACCGAAAGATAGTATATATATATCGTGGATAGGCGAATAATAATATATATATGTATATATAGATATATATCAAGTACCCGCTTCTAACGACTAGTTCGACGAATACGAGTTTGATTAATCATAAATACGTACTACTAGCCTACATTACCGGAAAGTTTCGCGTTAGAAACACACGGGGCGGGCCACGTGTTCCTTCACCGCCCGATATTGCATCCCCTCACCTGGATTGACGTTTCATTTTCACACACGCGTGCACCGACGCGACCCGTCTATGCACGTATATACTTCGCCCTTGTTGTCTATTTTCATTTGCCGGCTCGCCGTTCGACCAAAATGGAAAAAGTTCGTTCCGACTGGCGCCCCGTGTATTTCGCGGCCGCGAAGGAAAGATAAAAAAGAGCGTGACAGAGTGAGAGAGAGAGAGAGAGAGAGAGAGAGAGAGACAGAGACAGAGAGACAGACAGAAAGAGATAGAGAGAGAGAGAAGGAGAGAAAGATAGAAAAGACAGCGAGAAAAGCATGCAGAAGTGTAATGAAAAAAGGTTGCCTTCCAACGAGCCCAAAGGAGAGCCACAGCGCATAGGTTCTGTGAAGATTATTTGGTCGTGAGCAGAGTGGCACGTGCTCGTACTCGGTTTGATCAAAAAACACTTAAAATATATATATATGTATATATATGTAAATATATAGAAGTAATAATAATAATAATAATAATAATAATAATAATATGTAGACAAACAGACAGAAAAAACGACAGCTACGTCAATATATATAGTAAAAAAGAGTGCATGCAGATAAAGTGTGTATGATGCTCACATACACGCACGCACGCAGGCCAGAAGAGAGTTTCAGTTTATTGTTCGTACACATCGCCATTATCATTGTCATTATCATTTGTTTTTTTTTTTTATATATATATAGTTTTTGCTTGGTTGGTTGGTTGCTCCGTTTTTCAAAAAACGAGTAAAAAATAAGGAAAGGTGCAAACTGTTACCTTTATTATTCGGTCAAGTCAAGCAAACCTCGGGGGTCCACGAGATACCGACGCATTCCCAGAGAGCCAAAGCAACGTAAATGTAATACACACTGTGTCTGAGGGAACGAGGAGAATTCTCTGGATTTCTGGACACGGGACACGATGATTCAAGAGGGTTCAATGATGAAACGTGCGTGATCTCGCTACGAACAGACCTCCGCTATTCTTCGTCAATTGAAAACTGGCATGTGCATGTTCCTATGTATAATCTCAGGGTCATTCGTTATTTGATAGCTCGTCTGTGATCCGTGCGAGAACACTACGACGATTAACGATGGTAATGCAGGAGTCGAATTAGTAAAGCGTCATGACGTGATTCGATGGATGTTAGATTATGGCAGTTCGGACGGGGATGGATTCGATGAATTTCTCAGGATGATACAGTTGGGAACGGGGCAGAGTAGTGGTAGATTCTCGACCTCGACGTAATTTCCTTTGACAAAATACGTATTATATTATTGCAGAGTTCTTTCACGATTATTATACTCGCGTTTAATCAGATACTTCAAGTTTTCTCTCGTCATTGATCTCAAAATGGGCGTAACGATTTCCGATTGACAAAAAGAAAGAAAAGAAAAAAAAAAAATGTTCAACGTACGTGCTACCAAATGTGCAGAGAGATTCGCTTTGTTCAAATTGCTACCAAAAACCAAATTCGCAGACACGAACTCTAAATGGATACTCTAAATTCTTACTGAACGGACTCAATCGTCTAAAAGTTTCACTAACGAAAAAGCAAAACAAGGAGCAGAAATTCCATTTACGATCACCACGTGCTAAAAAGTACCACAACCTAACAAACGTAAAAAAAAAAAAAAAAAAGGAGGAACACAAGGAGGAGCATGTACAGCTTACGGGGAACAAGTGACAATTACCTGAAACGAAAAAATTCAGCGAACAAAAATTTCTCAAGATAGGAACAACGAACGCAGTTTATTGCAATTTCACGACATTGGACGACAAAAGACTATTACGTCCGCGATTTCCGTCGAGATCGATGGAAAAGGTGAAAGTTTCGGTGGTTCTGGGATGATGATGGAAAAGGGTCGCCGATCATCTAGTTACCTTTTACCTGTAGCTTGGCCGTGTACCTGACCTCGGCGGCGGGGTTCGCGGCGACGCAGGTATAGTCGCCGGAGTGCTCGGCCGCGAGGTTCGTTATACTGAGGAGGCTGGAGTAAGGATCCAGTTGGGAGATGTTTGCGACGGAGGCGAGATTCGGTGGCAAAGGGAAAGGGCTTTGGCCGTCTTTCAGCCAGGATATCGTTAGGGGTGGATCACCCGCCGCGACCCCGCACACCGTCCGCGTCCGCATCCCCTCGGATAGTCCCTCTTGGAACGTAAATGGCTCAATAATAGGGGGTACTGGAAAAGGTCAAGAGAGAAGAGAGAACCATACGTGAGAGCGAGAAAAAGATGGCACCAAAAAAACGCAAGAACCTTTTTTTTTGTACCAGGTACATGTGTTCATTATATATATATGTATAAATATATATATATATATGTTTCCTTCTTTTTTTCTTTTTTTTTTTTTCTTAAATATAGTAGCGGTATGTTTATATATATTATATATATAGACAGTAGTACGTCCATGTATATGTATAGATATATATATAGAATATAATATGTATATATATATACGTAGAATATGTACAATAGAGGCAGTATAGTAACGTAGCAATGTAGAGGAGAGAGAGGGTGGCCCCGCCGCGGACCTGCCCCTGCCGCCCTAAAACACCTTGTACACTTAAACTTGGCATCGCACACTCACTCTGCATACGGTCGTTCCCAACGCAAGAGCTAGCATTCGCGTCGACTCTTTGAAAATTTGCTTCATTCAAGGAGTTGCTGATTTTTGAAAAAAAAAACAAACTGTTCATTTCGTCACATGTACATACGAGTCCACATCCACGTTTGAGTTTCACTTCGAAGAGTCGAGACGAGGAACAAGGAAGAAACGTGGGAGATGACAGTGGCAGGTCTCGTGCAGGAGGATGAGCCACGCTAAGCGTGAGCCGTCATCAAGTACGCGTCACCAGGTCTCTACGTTCCTGAATGACGTTCCGATGGCTTTGTATCAGATAAAAAAAAGAGACTCCTTCTCGAATGAACGCGTAAGAACTGAACGAGCTGTGCGATCACGCGTCTTCATCGTATCGGTTTACGTTGAAAGCTATTTACAGCGGTGAGAGACAGCGCTAACACACACATATCGAGATTTTTCCACACGAAGCGAGAACGAAGGAAACAACGTGTGTGAAATGTACAGAGACTTGCGAGACAGAGAGAGAGAGAGAGAGAGAAAGATAAAGAGAGAGAAAGAGAGCGAGAAAGAGAAAAAAAAAACGATATGGATACGCTCGCTATGACTTTCACGGAGGAGGATGTGAAAGTAATAAAACAGCACTTTGAGATCCTCACGCGGTTCATTCGCAAGTGTGGGCAACCGTGTGTACGCACTCATACCGATCTCGACACTCGCACGGATTTTCGGGCGGTCAGGCGGTCGTCGGGCAAAAATGAAGGGGGCCTAGAGGAGGATTACCATGAACCACAAGCCGCTGCGTGTGTGATACCTCTGCGGCCAGATTACGGGCCACGCACGAGTAGTTGCCGTTGTGATCTGGAGATAAACTTTCAATCATCAGTATGCTATTGTACTGGTCCATATTGGTCACACTGACTCGCTCCGACGGTCCCATTGATCGTCCGTTCTTGAGCCAGGAGATCGACAGTGGCAGATCGCCTCTTGTCACCGAGCAAGTCAACGTGATTCGTTCGCCGAGATGAAGATCACGATCTGCCGTGAATGGGCTAATTTTGGGAGGAACTGGAATAATAACAACAACGACACCTCGTGAACTCGTGAAGCATAGACGAAGGTAAACACGTTGTGTGACCCGGGAATTCTTCTCTCTGTCCATCCTGGAATCCTATAAACTATTTTTTTTTTCTTCTCTCTTTTTTTCGATATTTTCGTTCTTTTTCTCAATTCATCGTTCTTACTGTTACCGATCGAAGCAACAATTTCTCGAAATTAACGTTTTCGGTTTTGTCTTCGTCTTTGCCACGAGATAATGGTTATGGTCTTGGTATCATTGTCCCCACGGCATATCGAAACACCTGCAACAATCGTGGAATAGCGACACGAACGAAATGCCTTACCGATCACTGCGACGTCTCCGGATCTCCTCGCGCTGTGCCCCTGCTTGTTCCTCGCCGAACACGTGTACACGCCGGCGTCGCCCTTTTTCTGCACGCTCGTAATCACCAAGGTGCCGTCCGGAAGCACCTTCTGCCGGAGATCGTCCGGCAATTCGCGATTCGCTCGTTCCCACTTGATCTCCTCGATCGGGTAGCCGGCCACTGGACACTTCAAGCGGAGAGTCTCACCGGCGACGGCGGTTACCTTTGGAATCAGTCGGATGTATGGAAGACCTGAAGCGCCAGAAAATTCATTAGTTGGTATTGAAATTTACGAAAGAATCGAAGTATAAATTGAAAATGCTTTTTCGTCAATAATTCAATATTTATATAATATTTTCGTCAATAATTTAATATTTATAATATTTGCAATATTTTCGAAAATTTTGTCCCGTGAAATGAGAGTGAGAGCTTCGTTTGCTGTCCGAACATACGAAATTTCACAATTAATTACCGCCTGAAGATATTTCTTTACACCATTACGGCGAAGAAATAGCATTGGTCTGACTACTTACACGGTGCTACTACTTGTAGGTGCCGTCGGTGAATAAAATTATCGTATGTCGGCAAATAAAATTCCGCGCGAAAGCATAAAATTACGATTCGAATGTAAATTTCACGCGGCGTGCGAGCACGATGTAGCAAAAATTACAAAATTTTGTTACCGTGAATAGAAGTAATATCCGAGTGGACGCTCGAGCAAGAGGTCTGACGTCGTACGCGGTAGTACTACTTACGCGCTCCTACCTGCTGAAGCGATGGCCGCACGCTCGCGGCTGTAACTTATTTCCATTTTATTTAAACAATTTGCAGCGAACGAAGAGCGCGACGGAGCCAGGAACCAAAGCTCAAACGTCAACCATAAATTGGACAAACTCCAACAGGACATTAATTTACTGAACATTATTCACGAAGTTTCGGTCGCCGGATTTAGCATGAAATTTACCGTAAACGTTGAGGCGGGCAGCGTGAGTGACTTTCCCAGCTCGATTTTCAGCCGTGCAAGAATATTCTCCTCCATCCTCCACCATCACGTGGCTGATATTGACGTGCGATATAACATCGCCGTGGACCGTCACGTATTGACCGATAACAAACCTTCGAACATCGATAAAAAATCCTTTTTTAATGAGCCGTCGTGACGCACAATGACATAAGAATTTTTACTGGTGGTGTTCAAATAAATCTATAATTAGATACACAGTACTTGCAGTAATTAGGATGTCGTTCTCTCTCTTTTTTTTCTTTTTTTGATAAATTTGCTTTGAAATTATTCTTCGAATTTCGATTATAAAATTATGTAAATAAAAAAGCAATTACACGAACAGTGTGCCAATCTACCTATCTATCGATTGATCTTTATTTCTGTTCTGATCTTCTAATTATTTCGAATAACGTATCAAAAACGATTCCAAAGTGCCATAACACGACGCAACGAAATATCGTTATACGTACATTTCAAAGATTACAACTAAATGATCGTTCGTGCATTATTCCGTCACACTGAAACCTCGATCACTCGATTCACACACGCACGCACACTTTCTATTTCCACTTGAAATTCAACCGCTGACAGTGAAACAAAACTTCCGCCTGAAATTCCCATTTGCCGCAATGATCATCAATCATACAGACTCGCGGCAACGAGTATTCGTTAATCCTTTTGCCCGGTTTATATTATCATTTAGCAGGATTTTCGGAAAGGACAAAGGCGAATATATTTCCACGGAACAATTTCAAATTGAAACTATATTTCACCAGCGAAATTTCAACGAAAAAATCCTCCAAGATAATGAACGAACTTCTTCCTTCTCTTTCTCCTTTTTTGCCCTTTCTCCTTTTCTTTCTCAATTAACGATTAACTTTGCCGACGAGGTGAAGTGGAGGGACACGGTGACTTTCCACCTCTCTCCGACACGGCGCGCAGAGAGACCGTTTTTCAATTACCGCGTCGCAACGCGCGTTTCCGGCCAAAGCGCCCCCGGTTTCAATGAAATTGCTAATTTCACGTGCGCGCCGAGAACCATGGAATGCAGTTTGTGCGACGAGACGAGCGAATTGCGCGTGTTTCGTCTGCAAGCTATTGCCGAGGATCGGTATGGGAGAGATTGATGGCTTTTTGGCCAGAGAAGGGCAAGAAAATGGTCGAGAAAGGTGCGCGATAAAATCACACGTGGGAGGGGAGAGGAAGAATCACAGAGAGTCTTTTATATATGTCGATCTGTCATTAAACCGTACGAGGGTCTCGCGCGTCATATCCTCTCGTGTCCGTCCTCTCGTCCTCGTGTCCCCCTCTTTGTGCCTTTCCCATCCGCCGCGTCGACGGCACTTCGTGTCGTTGCAATAAATATTCCCCGGCCTGCTCCTTGCCGGGATATTGCACTTGAGATTGAAATTGGCCTCGCTGCAGATGCGACCCCCTCGACTACTCGCCGCCAGGAGATTGCATTTTAATTACGAGGCATCAAGCACGCGTTAAAACAATTGTTCAGGAGTTACGACCACGTGCTTTGCTCGACGACTGAAGGAGCGGCAGCGCGCTTTGTTAGCCATGTGCGAAAGTAACGGCTGTTTCTGTTGAATTGCATAAACACGCGAGAAAACTCACCGAGCAGGCGAGATGGTTTAAAATTGGAAGAAATTAAATAAAGAGACAGGACGTCTCGTCGTATAATGTTGAATGATTAACAACACCGGTACAGAAAACGAATTTTCCGTCACTATTTTTGGAAATTCACCTGTAATTCGTTTAACTAGTCTGGTTTGTGTAAATTTATTTTCGCCAGCAGTGGAAAATATTTAGTCCCTTCTCCAAAATAAAATACCAGTCCTAATAAATAAGTAATTTTCAATCATCAAATCTTAAAAAGATTGTTCCATTGGACACAGAATTGCAAAACTATGAGGAAAAAAGTCCGCAATTAAAAAGTCCACGATCTACAATTGTTAATGTTACTAGTTGATAAAAATTACACTCTCAATATCTCAATTAATAATTAGTTCGTCAAAAAACGCTCGCGTGTAAAAAGACCAAAATTAAAATTTGTAATTTCGTTTCTCGCACGATCGTTTCTCGGTGTATAATTACGTTAGTTCGGAATGAATTAATTAATTAACCTACCGAGATGCGTTGCAGCGGATCGGATCGATGCGTGCAACAATTAACGAGCAATTATACCGGGCAACGCGGTAAATGTACCGGCATCCGGTTACGTACAATTAAATGAATTAGGTTACGAAAATTAAATGAAGCCTACCTTCCGTTGGTTGGCAGGGGAAAGCCGTCCAAGGCCCAGGAGACCTGCGGTGTTGGATTCCCAGCGGCGGAGCACTTCAAGGACACAGCCGGCCCCGGCTGCAACGTTTGCTCGATGAACGAATAGAGCAGCATCGGCGGTGCGTCTGCGAAACCCAGAAAACAAGACCACGATACATACGATTTCTCGGTATCCTTCATTTTCATCCCGTCTGTGCGCCGTACTCGTTTTTGTACGACTTCAAAGAAACATTTGAAGCACGCGCTTCGGTTACGAAACGGTCAGGGAAAATATCGAAAGAAATACCTGGCAAGAGAGATTCTTTCTCTCCTCTCTCTGATTTTTTCTCTGATTTTTTTTAACTCGTTGCTACTCGACACGGATCGGATAGGAATCTGTTTCTCGATGGTAGAGACGAAGAAAAGGGAGAAGACGGGCGAGAAGAACAAGAAGAGAAATCGAGTGAGAGCGCTGAGGAGCGGAGAGTGACGGCCGTCCGACTCGCGACGATGACCGCGACGCAAACGTGACGAATTCATCTCGTTGTAAGTACGATACGCGGCAGAGGTTAGGTAGAGAGTCGAACCAGGTAGGTAGAAGGTTCACAGGGCGGGATGGCAGGATAGCGGGTGAAAGTAGAAATCCCCGTTTGCTCGGGGAAGAGGAAAGAACAAGAGGCAAGAGCGTGAAAGACCACGGCGGATTCTTGATTCTGAAAGCCGGCACCACGCCTGCCTGGCTGGCTGGGTGGCTGGGTGGCTGGGAGGCTGGGAGGCTGGCTGCTTCCCTGTGCATCGCGATAGAAAACGAAAGACAATGGGCTCGCTGCGACGGAAGCGCGCCGGAATATTTTTTCTCTCTCGATGTTTCTATCTCGGCGACACGACGACCGGCGGGGCAGAGGGACAGGGCACAAGGGGGTGGGTGGGTGGTAGGCAGAGGGAGGGGTTCTTGGGAGGATGAAACGGGGCTGGCCGTGGAAAGAAAGAAGGGAGTGTAGAGGGTAGAGAAAGCGGCTGCTGGTGGAAAGGCAAAGGAGAAAGTCCGAGATCGAAGTCGAGTTTCTCTCTCTTTCTCTCTCTCTGTCTCTCTTTCTCTGTTTCTCGGTCGACGTTGAGGGGACTTTCCATAATTAAAAGTGTCGATTTCGTCGTCATTAAAAAATGCTCGAGCGTCCCGTTACAAAGGACAGTTTCGTCGTCTAGAGACGACGAGAGAAGCGGAGATAGGTAGATGGATAGATAGAGAGACAGAGAGAGAGAGAGAGAGAGAGAGAGAGGGAGAGGGAGAGAGAGCTAGGACACCTTCGTCTAGGATGAATACGAACAGCAAGTAGAGACGGTGCTCGCGGATCCGTGCGGAAATTGATGAATCTCGTCTCGATGCCTCCGAGCGATCGTCAATACGTAGTCGCGAGACCGCGAAATCTCGTTCACCGGCTTCGATAAAACAGAATTTCTTCGTTTTTTTTTTTCTCCCCCCTGATGTTTATTCAGTCTGTTTGCCTCGGGAGAATCGTGAAAGGAGAGCGGGCAAGTTGCGAGTATTGAAGCGAAACTTGGAAGATGAAGAACTTCTGAGAAATGGTCTTTCTACTACGAGGGATAAGTTTGTGACAATTTATAATACGGAGTATCTGATTATCATTATTATTATTATTATATTTTTTTTGCGCAAACGTAGCAGTTTGTGAGTTTAATTAACCCTATTGAACATTTGTGGGATTATCTGGAACGTGTAATTCGAAAATACACAATTTCATCTAAAACAGACTTAAAAAATGCTTTAATTAACGAATGGAATAACATCACTAACAAAGTCACATCTAATTTGGTTAATTAAATACCTAGAATGCTAGCTGCAATAATAAAATCAATGGGAAACCCTACTAAATACTATAATTATAAATATATTAATTTTACAATTGTTTGTTGCTTTTATTACAAACGTTTAAATTACTTGTACACTTGATAATGACAAAAGAACTGCAAGAATACTTATTACGCGTTCATTTCTGTCATTTTTCATTTATTCATTTTTCTTGGTATTTATATAAACAATATGAATTTAAATATATTTTTTTTGTTTATTTGATATTATATAGTACCACAGACTTTTGAGAATAGATGTACCATGTTTAAAAAATATTATTATTCAGCATTTCAGTCGTGATTAGTTACTATACGAATACTTTTTACACCCACTGTATAGGTATGCATATATAAATAACATAGTGCGAGTACGACGTTTGAAATTATGAAGAGATACGAGATGGAATGACGCGTAATGTTCCGAAACCTCTGGTGATCATGACTTTTACTTTTTTTAATATCTATCGACGTTATACGAGCATGCATCGCTTCTTTTAGTATTTCACATTGACATATTTCGCGTTACTGCACGCCGAGCGCGTTCCACATCTCCTCTATTTTTCCCCATAAACGTATATATAAATATATCCACGCTCCAATTACGACGTATACATTACGCAAAAGCTTAAATAAATTGTACCTTCATCTCGTAGCAATCTTTAGCAGCGTTTATTTCATTAATTAACCGTTTCCAACATCCAACGTCCATAGAAACATCCATTCCTCCTTTATTTCGCCGTTTCAATTACGAGCGTCGGGCGCGCAGCTGAATAACAGGATACTCTCTGTACGCGAGAGTTTCGCGCATGAAATTGGTACGAAAGAATCTCGAGGAACAAATTTCAGCCTAGAGGATGGATACGTTCCAGCCACCGAGGTTATACCGAGCGTATTCACGGGGCCGTGAATCCTCATTCACGCAGCATCCGACAGAGTACGAGGCAGCCCGGCGTCCACACAAGGAGAGGAGACGAACTTTCATAATGCATCGTGGCACGTAATTTCGTTCAGAGGAACGCAACGTTCAGCCGCTCCTTTAAAGGCAATCGTGCCTTTAATAAACGCAAATTCGATTTGCTTTTTAGTTTCCATTTGCTTTCTCTCACGTGGGGCCAAAAGGAGGGGCAAATTAGAGACACCGCGAAGAGGAGAACGACGAAGTCGAGAAAATCGGCTCGCTGGATTACCAGAGGCGATTCGATCGAAACGCAATTCGTCTCCATTTGGTTTCAGCTCGTCAACGAAACGACTTTTTTTCCGCTAGCCCCTTGGCTCGTGGCACTACTGGCAAATCAGCCTCTCTCTCTCTCTCTCTCTCTCTCCCTTTTATTCCCACATTTTTCCTAGTCGTGAAATTGCAACGAACTCGGTAATCCTCTCTCTTTCCAAAGCTCCCCTTTGCATGTGTGCATGCATGTTTATGTACATATGTATATGTACGTAATATGTATATGCATGTATATGTGGCTGTCTCTGTGTCCAGGCCACGGTACGTCCTTACCACGGGTGTACCGCTTGCTCGAATTCCCTTTGACGTAAATTCCGTGCATTACCGACGCTGACGAGCGAGAGACGCTAACTTCATTGTTGTTTCAAAGGCCCTCCTCTGGCTGGTTTCCTCCGCGTCCCTCGCCAACGGGATGTTCCTCTTTCATGCACCAGTCCTCATCCATAGGTGGGCGGTCCAGATATAGGGCAAACGGTTCAGAGAGAAAGAGAGAGACAGAGAGAGAGAGAGAGAGAGAGAGAGAAGGGTCGAAGAAAGGAAAGAGAAAGAGACAGAGAAATGCTTCGTGATGGTTACCAAAGAGTAACGGGGGAAAGGAGGGTTGATAGTGGTAGCAGTGGCGAGCATGAAGGAATTAACGAAGGGGATGAGGGGAGTTTAAAGCGGCGTAAAAGAAGCCTTCTCCACTTCAAAGCGGAGGTTCTCTGTTCTACCGGGTTCTAACGGGCCACGTGGTCTACATGCTCCTTCCACGTTAATCGAATAACGCCGGTAATACGATCGGTGACGTTCACTACCGATCGCGAGAACCTACTTTCCGCGTCGTGTTATACTTGCGTCACTTCTGGCCCGCCTTCTCGAAAAGGTGGAGCGCCAACCTCGAAACGAAGGGGGGGGGGGGCGCATCGATTCGCACTGGCCATCATCGATCGGGCCAAAGTATTTCGAGGGCAATGGGACTCGATTTCCGGCGATCGATGAACAGAAACTCCCGAAGGTGACTCGCAATCGTGCAGTGTCGTGGTTTGACTCTGACAATCTGTGCGGATGTTACAACCGATGTGGCGTTCAACGAAGTGCGAAGAGATGGATTCATCGATGTTACCGCCCTGTCAAATGCTTAGTCTTGATAACGTCGTTTGGCAAATTCGTTTGACAATTTTGTGGAAGAGTACGGAATGCGAGACGTGCACTGAGAAATTGGGCAAACTGTATCAGGTAACCGGTCGTAACGGTATCGAGGGAGGGGTTCAAGTGGCTCGGCTGGAAGTTGGAGAAAGTTCCAGGCTCTTGAAACTTTGGCCATTGAATGTAAAATACGTATTACTAAATTGGCGATTGCGAGAGAAGTAAACGATTAAATATATTAAGCGAATCGATTACTTTTTAACTAGTTTCTTAGAGAAGTAAAGAGATTGTTCAAGAGGTTCGCTTGCCAATTATTACCAATTAGATTTTGTCAATTAACAATCGTTTGACATAGCATTTGAATTGATTAATATACTTGCCGAAATAAAAAAACAATTAGTAAACTTCAATTTCATACCGATCATGTCGATCGTGTCTGCAATCGGACAGGAAACAATTAGATTTATTAATTTCGTAAAAATACGACAATTGAAATTAACACAAACCGATCGGAAATTGATATTTTAATTGAGTAACTCCTCGCGGAAAGAAGTGGAGTTGATACTCGTTCCGTGCACTTGTGTGATGACCGCGGATTCTAAATCATCTCGTGTCATCTTTCTTCCTCCGTTCCGTATGGTGGCAGGCGTGATGCATTTCTATGCTAATTGGACCACCGTGAATTTTCACGGAAGCGATAAAGTTTCGAGATGCAGAAGATGAATCTTCGAGAATGACCTAATTTGCTTTGTGCCCGAGACGGAGGGTAGTCGAAAAGTGAATTTATACGTATGTGTAGACCCATTGAAAGCCTCCCTCATTTGCAATTCCGAACGAAACTGCACCGCAACTTTCCATGTAATTTTCCTTTGTATGGGCCAAGTTGTAAACGACGCCGGGTATGTGGAATTCAGTAATTGAGATCGAGCGAATCGAATCGTATCGAATGGAATATCGCATATACGCGTATGTGCGCATACTTGAGCATTTATGCGTTTCTGCGTACGAAAATCACGAATTGCCCATTAACCAGCCGTTTGATGGAACTTTTTCTTCCCTCGAGTGTTGTTCGGTAGATTTCAAAAACCGAAATTCGATAAGAATCGAAATTCATACGCGCGTAATTGGAAGAAGGTAATTTTCGAGGAGATTTTGAAAGTATGCAAATCAATTCTAAAATATAAAATACATATTATTTTTAAAAAATATATATATATATATTTAAAAATAATATGTATTTTATATTTTACTTGTCGAATTTAATTTTCTAAGAAATACAATCTTTCTATTCGGTTTTTCAAAAATATATATATATATTTTTGAAAAAATATATATATATATTTATATATATATTTATATATTTAAATATTTAAAAATAATATGTATTTCATATTTTATATATATATATAGTAATGGAAAACCGAATAGAAAGATTGTATTTCTTAGAAAATTAAATTCGACAAGTAAAATATAATTGCTAGCTGTTAATACACGACGACTTAATAACTTTGTTCGTTAGTGGAAGATTATGCGAAATTAATTATCGAAGTTTTTTTTTCTGAATTAAATTGTTTTCGGTGAAAAAAACTTTAAATTTCACAATTTTATCTCCTTAACTCAATTAACTCTAATTTGTTAAACTTTCCTTGAAATGTATAAATAACTCTATTTGAAACCGCCATTTCCATTGCATTGACTTTCATCGGAGGCACAAATAAATAAATGCTTCTTACTTACCGCCTAATTGTAATTCTGCAGAGGCCTGTGCAGTGTCGCCTTCCGCCCGTCTGACGATACACTGATACATTCCACGATCTTCCCTGCTGATACCGTTCAGCCTCAATAATTCTGATTGTCTGCCGGTGCCTGGCAACTGTCGACCATCCTTGTACCAGGTAACAAAGTGTGGTCCAGCTTGTGGATGCGTGCTGACCTCGCATCTAAATTCGGCATTACCTCCTAAATGGACGCTCAACAAGGGTGGCGTCACTTCCACGTGTAATGGGGCCGTCACGATGAGCCTTGAAGAACAATTTTCTTTGAACTCTGTCGGTTCTTTGAACCTCTCATTAAGAATTTAACGTTAAATGCAAATAACATTGCGCGTACATAAATAATATAAATCGTAGGAAAAGTCGTGGAACGTCTTTACTTCTAATGATATTTTTGAGTATTTTATCGAGGATAATAAATTCGGAATTATACCCCATTTTTCTTAAGTAAAATTATTAATCTTCTCATTGAGTATTTTCTTTGTGCGAAGATGCAAGAGATGTGAATTTAATTTCACGTGAAAATTTGATTGGCGCAGCGGTTTGGAAACCTGGAATTCTGCGAGGCGAATTTTTTTTTTTTCTGACTAAAAGCGTTTGAGAAATTTATTGGAAAAGGGGTATAATTAACGATTTTGTTAATTACCTGGTTCTGGAAAGTTTTTTAGTCTTTACAAAAAGATTACCAAGTATTTCGAAGTTTTGCCGAAGCGAGTCATGAACGTTTAACGCTTGCTTTGGGTCATAATTAGCAGAAGCGGAGCTTTAATTAGTTGAACAAAGAAATTCGTCGATTTAATGTAAACATGTAGGAAACGAAAAGTATTATGAATATCACATCGCGCTTTTTATAATTAAAACCGTCTCTAGATATTTTCAACCCAATTTTAATTGTTCAAATTTTATTTTATTTTATTAGTAGTAAAAATTAATTTTATTTTATTACTAGTAAAAAAAACATACTCGAAATGTATGTCGCTCAGACTCTCAAAACGTTTCAAAATAAAATCTCTCTTTTAAACTAGCATAAATTTTCATAATTAATCACTACTATTTTTACATTAAATTGTTACTATCTGTATGTAATTTATTATTTATTAATTACCGAACTTCTGCGCTGGCTTCACCACCAGGATTAGACGCGGAACACCGATAAATACCGCTATCTTCTAACGTTACCGCTTCGAGGGCCAGAACGGACCCGAGCAACCTGGTTCTTGGTCCAGAGAGTACCAGCATTGGCTCCGAACCGGTTTGTGCATACCACCTGAAAATTAGGTCACAGCTTAGCACGTTAAATCTCAATTACATTTAAACTATTATTTGTGTAAAGGATATTTTATTCTTGTGAACAAAGCTGTAAAATTTAAACCAAATTTACAGGTTATAAAGCTTGAGAACCGTTTCTACTTGTAATTATGACTCGTTAAGATTGTTCTTGACATTGTACTTTTATTCATTCACTATTTCTGGCTAAATACTGAAATTGTGAAATTATAGAATTTGGTACAAACGTTTGTTCTTCGTACGTATAATAGAATGAATTTTACTGTTGTACTCTTAATACTCAATAAATCTTTCTTCTTATAATCTTAAAATTTCTTGTAATAATTATATTATTATTATAATCTTAGTTGTGATTATTACAGATCATTTCGTTGTACAAAGTTTAATAAATGCAGTGTTTCTACTACTAAATTTGTTACTCAGAAAATTACTTGAATCCCCAAAAGACAATTTCAGACATTACAACGGTAAACAAATTCGAATACCAACGAAATGAAACAAACACACACACACACGGTTTATTAGACACATTCCTTTCATTATCACGTATCATTTTCTCCATCGATGGCAATACCGGAATATCATTAATGTAATAATATATTCCCTAATTTATATTTCCCATGAAATTACCTCAAAGCACCAATTAAAAATTTCCGTCGGGTCGATTGTTGCCGATCGGTAAACAACCGAAAATTCCACCAGCGATAAATCCGCACGTAATCTCAATTAATTCGAACGTCATTTCACTCACTCAGCGACGTAATATGTCATCCAATTACATTATCCGAATCCATTGAAATCTCTCGGCCGGCGTACAATCCGCGAAACTTCGTACATTCCGTTGAAAATTCGCCGCGGAAAAATCGTTTGTAACAGCCGCACGAAAATAGGTCCTGGCAGCGTTCCATTCCCGATCCCGGTTCCCGTCGTCGGTCTCGCGGATTCCAGCAAAAAAAAAAAAAAAAAGTTTCCAAACGTCGCGAAACTAACGCGAATTAACCCTCGATCGATTGTCCGGCATTTTTTTTCGAATATGACATTCACTGCCTCTCTTAATAATAACACAAGGGCTGAATTTTCGGATGAAATTGCGAAACTGATGGTAAAAGTTTCAACCTCTTATCGCCGCGTGACGATGAAAATTATATGAAATCAAATTTCGATTCGGTGCATAATTCGATTGCTGGTAAAATAATTTTGCATAATTATTGCACATTGATGTCTGAGGATCGTTGATAATTTTGTGGTCATTTTTCACGTCTGTATTTTTCATACGGCAGGTTGTCTGCTCTCTTGATGTAACTTGCATTAACTTTTAGTTCGTTTGATGAAAATTTTGAGTTTGAGACAAAATGTACGCTTGAATTTGACGTGACCTTACCTCGGCATAATTTGACGCATAATCTGCCTCTTGTAACAAAACAATTGACAAATAAATATTCAGCACTTTTAGTTACAAAAAGGGACGCGAAACAATCCAATAGTTATTATACTTATTATAATAACCGATAGCTCCACTCTTATAAAATTCTCCACGAATATTGCGTGGCATGCCTCCGACCCTCAACTTAAAGCACCAAATACTTTTCGCTCGCGGAGTCGTAAAGTTTATAATCAGTCGTAGCAATCTTGGGACCGAGAAGAGACGGTGGCGGACGCCAAACCAAACGCAGTTAATGCAACAGTCCTCGCCTCGATTCCCTTCGGAACTTCCTCTTTCCCCAAGAGCTAGGAATAATTTTTCATCGAAAGGCGAGGCGGGCCGCGCGTGGAGCAAAAGGGTGGCTGGTGGGAACCGGGGCGCTTCAATTTCGCTGGCTTTCGGGCACGACGACCTAGAAACGACAACCAGTCGCATCCACGGCGAGCATTTATCCCAGAGATTCCTCTTTCTTTCATCCTCCTCGCCAACTTCTTGACAGTTTTCGATCGAGGCACGTTCGTCGAATCGAACCGCTCTGGCAGATCCCTTCCATCCTCTCTTTCTTCTTCGTTTCTCCACTCCCCACCTCCCCTCTTTTTGTAGATCATCATGGAACACTTGGTGTCTCGTATCTTTGTCGGTTCTAGAATTTCCGAGTAAAATAGTAACAGAGCTGGGTTCTCCTCGAGAATTTTAGTTGACAGTCCCTGGGAAAAGTCATCCGGGAGAGGAGGAGATACGAAGTTACGAGTTTCGACTCGTGAAGTAGATTGGTTTTGCGCTTTCTTCCGAAAGCGACAAGGTAGCCGAGAGAGAGAGAGAGAGAGAGAGAGAGAGAGAGAGAGAGAGAGAGAGAGAGAGAGAGAGAGAGAGAGAGTTTAAGGGGGTATTCTGACAATCCGGCTTAAAAAATCAATTTTTTTTACATTTTCTCAAAGTATATGCTTTCGAAAATGCCTAAATGTAAAAGGATTTGTTTGAATTCGGAAAATTATCAAAGTGATAGTGTTTAAAGGAAACGGTTTACTGCTCGCAACGTAAGTATGAATATTTTTGTACAACGGGTAACAAAAATTTGTTTTTCTCAAAAAATATTTTATTTTGTAATATTATTATTTATTTTTATATTATTATTATTTTATAATATTTTATTTTTAGCTTTACCTAAGGCTATATAATTTTCACAATTTTCATTAATTTTGTTAAAAAAAATTAATACTCTATATAATAATAGTAATAATATAAAAATAAATAAAATAATATAAAATAATATATAAAATAATAAAATAATATATAATATATTTTATATATTCTATATAATTTATATAAAATAATATAAAAATAAATAATAATATTACAAAATAAAATTAATACTCTAATACGTAAATACACCTTAAGTATGAATAAATCTGTGTGCGAAAATTGCACACCAAAATGTATCATGGTTTCCTTAGAAAAAAAATCCCCAAAAAGTCGATTTTTTCAAGCCGAATTATCAAAATACCTCCTTAAGATCAAACGGTGTTCTTTGTTTATTTGCACGCGATGATTCTTGTGCAAAGTGTCTTTCTTCAGGCAAAGGGGAATCACGTTGTAATGCGACGTGGTATCAGTTTCATGGTATGTACGTACGTGCTAATTCCGTTTGCACATAGTATGCGACTGCTGGTAAATTGGAGCAAGTTTGTTGTTAGGAACTGAGCGTCTCTAGTTTCGATCGATTGCCCCCTACTTAAGTCACGTTTCCCATTCGTGGATATCTAAGAGATAAGGTGATGGTCGGTCACGTGTTCAAGTTTATATAGTTTACTACATATTACATTATTTTACGGAATGAAATAAACATGAAATTACTTAAATTTCCAAAATTTCTTATACCCATACTCTCTCTTTCATCTTGATCATATTGTCTCATTCTTAATTTAACTACGCGTAGCATTAGCCTCAATGTTACCCAAATAAAAGTAATTATATTCATAAATCTTAAATGAAAATTACGACGGCAGAATAAATTTGGTCCATTATTTCTATCTACGAGCACGTTGCTGTTACGCATTGTCGTCAATATCGTTAATTAAATAAATTACCAGCAGTAAAATTGCAATTGTGACAATCGCATTATGTTAGAAGATAAAATATAATTCTTGACACAGAGTCGTAAATCTAAATCACGTGACAGGACGACTCCAGCTAAGTTATTTCAATCAAACAGTATCTGTGATTCTTAATAAAACAAATGACCGAAATAAAATAAAATTGGAACTCAATAATGTAAAACGTAACCCTTTACGCTAATTCCACTCGAGCCTAAATCACGCGGCAGGACAAGCTCCTTATTTCGGTCGAATGGATTAGTATCGGCGAGTACTGTTCAAGCACGTCCTTCGCAAAACATCTTGGCACACCGTGCTGGCCAGCGATATCGTCGATAAATTTTCATCTCTCCAGATGTTTCTTGTCCAGTGCATGCATCTGTCTACGGGCTCGGGTTCGAGGAAAATCCAGGAGAAAAAAAGAGAGCGAGAGAGAGAGAGAGAGAGGGAGGGGGGGAGGGAAAGCTTGTAGAGCAAAAGACTCCTCGAAGACTCGGCGAGCGACATGGAGAGTTTCCGATTGTGCTTCGTTCGCGAGGCTTCACGTTCGAGTGCTCCCACTTTTCCTCGATCAAAGTCCTGCCTAGTCCTTATTCCTTTACTTACCCCCTCGAATATTCCTGACTTCGATCCTTCTTTCCCTGCCTCCTCGCTGTCTGTTCGTCCATTCTTGTTTCGATCCCCGAAGGTTCGAGGCCAACAAACGACATTCGTAATTTCCTTTTAGGCTAAAGAGCAGCGTGTGCTGTCTCTTCGCCCTTTTTTCTCTTTGCGTTTCGCTTTCGTCGTCTTGTCGACGTGACTCGTACGAGTGTCGGCGTGGGAGAATCCTTGCTTGTTGAGAGCTTCAAAAGTTTTAAGGTTTCTGCGCTTGTCTTTGAGAAAGGCAAATGTACAAATAATCGCAGCGTTTCGTATCGTCGTACGTTGGTTTATTGTTTCTTTGAGATCATTAATAGGATTTCAACCGCATGGAAGTTTTATCATATGACGGTATGGTGCATATGGAGACTTTCATATTTTTGACGTGACGAATATATATTTTGTAAAAGTTACCAACAACGGTTTTTATCCTCTTCTCTTCACATCTCTCAGAACGTGGCTCTCAAAGGGTTGAATTATACTGCAGTGCCAATTTTTGCATAGAAAGTACGTAAGAAACACACGAAAGATGTTTAATTCCATCGACATCGAAAATACCTTGTAATTATTAATTCAATATCAAAATATTTTATTTATTATTTTATTTATTAGTTAGGTTATATTTTATTAGAATATTATTTAATTGGAAATTTGTCTTTCTCTTCGTCCATTTTATTGTTCCTTTCTTTTCCTTTCCTTTGTGTCCCTCTCTTCCTGTTTCCTCTTTCCCCTTCTTCCTCCTCTTTGAAATCCACAGACACAGAGATTGAACGTGCCAGATAGAAATTAAAAAGTCTTAGCGAACAAAACGGTCGATAAATTTCCACATCTTGCATCGGAACTGAAATCATATTGCTACGTGGACACTCAATTTACGCGAGAATTCGCGTTTCCGTTTCCATGGTCGCTTCGTTTCCGCCGCTTTGAACTCGCAAACGACCGGTGCCCCGTAATTACAGCGTTAAATTCGTTTACATCGTTTGCAATAATAATAACATTAAATTTACCAACAAGCACGGTATCGGTTTTCGATTACGTGTAATTATTCCCATGATTATTTGGACGTATTATGATCGGTTTAATTTATACTTGCCAACCAGTTAATCATCCGCAAGCAAAAAATACTGATAACCTTAATCAATTGAGTCGCGTCTTTCGTGATATGACAGACAGCCGACAAACAATTGTCTGAGAATTTTTAGCATTCTAAAATGCCACTGATTGCCACCATTGTTATATTATTACCAACGACAATTTTTAATATTTAATTTACCTCAGACGGACGTTAGGTATCGAAAACTGATATATTTATCGATACTCATCCGCCAGCTAGTAGAAAATGTCTTTCAAGAGAATTATCTTTTAATTAATGGTAGAAAAAGTAAAAAAATTGTGTGGTATTTTTCAAAAGAAAAAGAACATTCCTTCAGCGACGTGTCATGCTAGTAGAATAGGTCATTTGCGTCAGACACGGTACTGATTAACTGATCTTTAGTAAAGGTATTTTCTAAATTTTAAAAATATTTTCTGCTAAAGTACATACGCACAAATATAGATCGACAATTATATAAATCTCTGTTATTATGCAAACAAAGTACTTTGAAATAAAAATAGTTTTCAATAACCAGAAGTTAATGACTGGTTACTGCTACTGACAGTTTGAAACAAAGGGCCTATTCTGTCTAAATCTACAAATTAAAAAAGCATTCCAGGCAAACACGAAACAATTATTATTGTTGCGAATAATTTGTCATTTCGTCAACGCGAGAGCAAAGTTGAAATAATAAAATTCCAAAGTCCACAGCGAGGTCAACGTAATTGAAAACACTCTTTTAAAATAAAATTCACAATCGCTGTTGCAATTCTTCGCATCAACGATGGATTTAATCCATCGAGATAAGAGAGAAACTCACCGATACTCGGGAGTAGGGCAAGCCTGTGCCACGCAGACTAACGACGTTGATTCATCTTGAGCGACGTGAACAACGCCGGAGTTTTCAAGAATCACCGGTGGCATCACCCCTCTGTGATCTGTGCAAAAAAAGAAGAGAAGAAAAATGTCGGTCGATGGAGGGTCGATTAATGCGGCGGGTAATTGAGAAAAACCTCGAGCAATTTCCCGAGCGATAAGAAAAATCGACATGTCCGCCGGAGTGAAAATTACTACCTGCTATCCTTACGTTGGCCACTGAGCTCACAACCACCTGTCTAGTGAGGCGATGCATCGTTCGACATCTGTAACCGTGTATTTGATCGCTGAATTCCAGACTGTGGACCAGAAGTTCACCGGTTGGCAGGAGGTGGAACTTCCCGTCTGCGAATGAGAATAGAAACCAGATTTATGCTTTCGTATCTTTCACCCGTTTGCCATTCGTTTGCTTCAACAACACAGTTTGTTAGCCTGACAATTACATACATAATTAATAACATGTTAACATATTATTAAATATGTAATTAAATAACGTACAATTACATACATAATACAATTACATACATAATACAATTGTACTACTGTGCCAAAATGTTTGATACAACTATACACGCAACTTATATAAAACATTTTATACAATTTTGTAATCCTTAAAAATTGAACAAAATTGGATGAATAGTCGTCGAAACTGTTTGTAGGTAATTTAATAATTTTCTCAATACTGTCGTGATTTTTACACTCAATTATTAAGTGTTTGACAGTTATTGGTTTTTTATATTGGAATGCTCATATTTGCTCAGTCATTTTAATTCTACTGATGAACGAATTTGATTTTCACGATTAATAAAACTTGGAAACTCATGCCGTTCCACATCTGTCCTACATGTTTGATAATCCGACTGTTGATATTTTATACAAAACATTTAAATAACGGGGACGTAAGAGTAATTTATATCTCTTTGTTAGCTTACCGGGCGAGTTTGTTTTCGCGAATGATTAACTTCAGTGGTAATTTTTGTCGCAATCGTTTGCAAATTACTACTACTGATACGAAGGATGAGGCTAAGTCACGATCCCTGTGGACGGCATCCAAAAGCTTTCATCACGAAGTTTTTCAATTGTGAAAACTATCTCGCGTGGCGTTAAATTAATTATATCGTCTCCAAGATAAATAGCACGTTCGGTGAATTATTCAAAGTGAGATATAGATAATGGATTGCAGAGATCCTCTGCAGAGAAAAGTATCTGCTTTTATACATAGCAGAAATATAACGAGAAATTTCTTTTTTTTTTCTCTCTCATTCTTATGATTTATATCTGACGCCACGATAATTGGCCTCGACGTTTTTCAATAAACATGGCACGCGGACTCGGGATTATCTTTAATAACTGCGCCAATGATATTCGTCGGCTAAATTATGTGCGAAATCCGGAATTTTAAACTTTTGCTGTTTAATTTCCCTTTCGTAATTATTATGTATTCGTTCTTCAATAAGAATCGATGTTTCCGTATTTAATTTTCTCACACATTCTAGAAATTGAGAAACTGATTCGAAACACGAGGACTAGTAGAATGAATTCTTTTCTAAATTTGATTAATATTATTTTCAAGAAAATTCTGGACGTTGAAACTTATTTTAAGAATATGATCGTTTTATCTACCTAGTTTCAACCAATCGTTAGCTTTTCGAATAACAGAATAAACGAAGTTTAAATTATTAAAAAAAAAAAAAAAAGAAAAAAAAAATGGTTACGTCGCACACTCTGGCGAAAAAATATGCAAAATGTTCAAACGAACGGGAATTCGGAATTACGTTCAACAACTACCGCGCACCATCGATGAACGAGCTAACGGCCCAGGGTTTCGTGATATTTCCGTTGGCGAGTAGGCGAACGGTTTTACCGTAACGATAATTATGCTAATTCCGGGATTTTCAGCGGCCTGTTCTGGATGACTGGCGAGGAGATATCATCTCGCCGTTCTTGCCCAGCACGGCTTAAGCTCGTGCTCGTTCCTTAGATAAGCCCGAGCAACGTTAATGACCGTAGTTATCCTAAACATTCGCAGCCGTTTCGCGAAAACGTGGATCCCTCGATCCACGCGCGGAAAATCTTTAACACGAATCTCGCGAATACGTGATTATCTCTCGCGGAGGAGATCGTCCTCCTGCTAGTTTCCTTCCTTTCTTTATTCTTTATTTATTCCATTCCCCTGTCCGTTGTTTCGTTTCCTGTCGCTTCGCTTGATTTCTTCCTCGCGATCGTACGCGTTTTTCTTTTTAAGTTTGTTCTTTATACGTAGTTACTTCTTTTCCCCCCTCCCCCTTTTTTTTATCGTAGCATGCTGCTTGTTGGTTTCTTACTCTCGCTGGTTTCAACAGTCTTAATTCTCTCTTTTTCGTCTGCAGTTTCGCTAACTTCTTCCTGCTTCTTTTCCTACGTGAGTTTAAATTTCAGCTACTTGTAGCATCGAGTTTCTTCCGTGTTTCCTTCGTACCGCTCCTTTTATGGAATCCTTTTGCCTCCAGCTCACTTTTTTTTATGGATTTTTATCTCTCTCGTCGTTTTCACTCGACGTGAATTTTTATCTGTTGCAATTTCATCCCCAATTATTCTATCATCTTGTCAATTATTGTCAAATCTTTATTTCTATCATTAACTCGTTTCTACCGTCTTTCATTCTCAGTTTACTGTTCACTGTTTGCTTCTCCATTTTTTGTCGTTTACTTTTACTGTAAACTCTAACCTTTCAACAGTTTCCCTTTATTCTCCGTTTTTCATTCTAACCCCTCTAAATCTACACTTCCTTATCCTCATCCTGTTCTATTGGCCACTTTTCTCTTTTCTCGTTGTCACCCTCCCTAACCACAAACTTCTTCCAACATCCCCCATAACTTTCTAACTCATTCTTATCACGTTCGCCTCTCACTACTCCTCCATATCTTTTTCTTTCTTTCTTATATCTTTTCCACTATCGTTCAGTGACTGGAAACGATATCAAGAGGATGTATGCAATCCCGATGGATTTATATTATAATACGAATCATTTTTTTCATGACACAATTATGATTAATAAATTAAATTAAATTAAATTAAACTTGTTGTTTACACGTTCGCCACAGACGAAGAAAGAAAGAGGTTTATTATCTCTAGATAAAATTACAAATGTCAATAGAATTGCAGTAGAACAGGCAAATGAAAAGAGGAACAGTACATCTCCAAGTAGAATAAGCACTGAATCGTGTCAGACATGTCTACAACAGAATGCGAGTAAATAAGAGAATATTTATAAATTCAAATAATTGTTTCATGAGAAGATTAGTTAAGGAAAGCTGTGTGTTTTCATGTTCGAAATCAGTGTGAAACAATATTACACTTACATTAACAATACTAAACCGTGTAATCTACGCTGTCCTATTCCACTCTATGCTATTTTCTATTCGACTGACTCTATCCTCTTCAACGGCTAACTTTCTCTTCAATATTCTCCCTCTTCCTCTATCTTTACCTAATAAACATTATTCTAAGAAAGGCAACCAATCGTGGCCTAAGTGAGTTAAATGCTAAATCATGGTTATCTCACTTCATCTCTAAACTATCTCATCCGTTATTCTACGAATCCGGCATTTTTACAAAATCTAACACTTCTCGTGTCTAATACTTCGCGAATCTAACATCTCTCATTTTTTTGATATCTTTATATATATAATGATATATATTTTTATTGTTATATATATTTATATATATTTTATACTGTTATATATATTTATTTTAATATTATAAACTTTATTTTATATATATATATATATATATATATATATTTAAATAAAATTACTACTTTTCCATCTCTGTGTGATCTTACTAATAAACTTTTTACCCACGAAAACGTACTCGCTGTTTGACATCCCATATTCAACACCAACATTTCCACAAATCGAACACTTCAGAAATCTAATATTTTCCATATCTGCGCAAATCTAATCTTTTGATATGTTATTTAAATAAATCTCCTTTTTTCATCATATAACTACTCCTGTAATTTATAACCTACAACTATTCCCATCTTACAGCTACTTTTCCATTTCTGTGTGATCTTACTAATAAATTCTTTATCCACGCACAGAACACGTTGTTTGACATCCCATATTCAAGACCCAGTATTTCCACAAATCGAACACTTCAGGAATCTACCTTTGCAAACCTAATCTTCTGACATGTCATTTAAATAAAACTCCGCTTTTCATCTTACAACTACCTCTGTAACTTATATAATCTGTAACTACCCCGCATGATCTTATTAACACCTAACATTTTTTCAAACCACGCACAGCACTCGCTGTTTTGACATTCCTGTTTTGATATCCAAGACTCTGTGTATGTTATTATTGCGCGTGCGTGCACGAGCACAGATTCGGCCACGAGACATTAGCACAGCTAAGACCGGCTGAGATAAGCGGCCCTCCTAAATAGCGATTGTCGGCCAAGTCAGCCGGCTTGGATGGGTTATGTTAGTTTCGGTATCACACTCGATGCTACTGCCTGTGCGCCTTGCCCGCTCCGATCTATTCAACGTAGATAGGCCGCGTACATACGCGGCCATGTACGCCGCCCGTACATACGCGCACTATGTACGCAACAGTAGGGGATCACTACCTCGAATTACGCGCAGTCTGACCATGGCGCTATTAGTAAGATGGATATGTTACGCTTGCAGAAATATAGCGTCCACAGACGGGCAACAAAAGCCTTGTGATATTATGTACAGGCCGCAAGAAATACGAGGCGCCCCGTTGAAACTTCCACTGATGCTCGACGTCGAACTTCAGAGGAGAGGCAAACGCGTTGCAGATTTGGGGAATTGCAATGTTCGATAGGTGTAAAGACCAAGGCCACGTTTGTGTAATATTTGTTCGTTTGGAATCGATTTCGACCGTACGATGGAACTTAGATATTAATTAAATTGACAGGGAGCTTTTGTATAATGAAACGAAATATTATGGAGCAACGGGAGAGATGATTTTGATGTTTATTTGACGTGTAAAAGGATACTTGTAGAACGACGTGATATTTATTAAATATCGCGTATAAAATGATACTTTCGTAATACGGTAACGTGTACCAATGTTCAGTTCTCTTTTTTTTTTTTTCGTGATCTGCAATACGAACGGCTCGGTAGCAAGAACAAAACTTTTCAAGCAAATCGACCGTGTCATCCGAAAAATGATGATTTTCCACACTGAAAAGAATTACGCAAACAACAATACCAGCGTACAAACGACAAAATATCCGGTATTGAAGCTCGGACGATTCATTCCGTCGACGAATTACATCGAAATCCCCCCTCCTCGCTCTCTTTTAATATACCGCGTTGATCTTTTTTTTTT